GGAAATGAAAAGAGATATGATATATTATATATATATATATATATATATATATATATATATATATATATATATATATATATATATATATATATATATATATATATATATATATGTCGTACCTAGTAGCCAGAACTCACTTCTCAGCCTACTATTCAAGGCCCGATTTGCCTAATAAGCCAAGTTTTCCTGAATTAATATATTTACTATTATTTTTTTCTTATGAAATGATAAAGCAACCCTTTTCTCTATGTATGAGGTCATTTTTTTTTATTGGAGTTAAAATTAACGTAGATATATGACCGAACCTAACCAGCCCTACCTAACCTAACCTAACCTATATTTATAGGTAAGGTTAGGTTAGGTAGCCAAAAAAAGCTAGGTTAGGTTAGGTTAGGTAGGTTAGGTAGACGAAAAAACATTAATTCATGAAAACTTGGCTTATTAGGCAAATCGGGCCTTGAATAGTAGGCTGAGAAGTGCGTTCTGGCTATTAGGTACGACATATATATATATATATATATATATATATATATATATATATATTTTAGGTCTAGGTCCCTGCCACCTCCCCTACTCCTTGTTCACTTGTTCCTGCCCCCTTGGGCCCTCTTCCCTGTCCTCCCTTGTCTCAATCCCTTTGGTCTCTGGTCCCGGCTTGCATGGTCCCTGGTCCTTATCCCAGTGCTCCATGTCCCCCAGTCCCTGCCTCCCGTCCCCTAGCCCATGAGGAGGGTGCCGGTCCTGACCATCACTTAAGATTGCTGCACTTTCTCCCCGTTAACCTGCCTCTTTATCAGTAATGTGTCAGTGGGAGATGTGGGGGGATGCAGGTGGGAGGTGTGGGTCTGCAGGGGGGAGGTATAGGGACTGTAGGCACATCTTCTCTGAAGCACCAGCTAGGGGCACGTCTCCACTGCAGGTGGGGGGTGAAGGTTGTAGGTTTTAAGTCTGTTCTACGATTCCCTGCAGGTGGGAAGTGTCAGTATCACAGAGAGGAAATGTGTGGGCTGTAGGTAGGTCTTTGGCGGAGATTGGGCTTCAGCTCACTGTCTCGGCCTCTTAACTACTAATCAACTGATGTACAGGTTCCTGCTGCGGCATATCACATCTACATTTGAAACTGTGCAAGGAGTCTGCCACACTTAGTGCGTTTGTTCACTACTCTCACGCTGAAAACTATCACTAAAATCTTCCACTTGCCTCGCCATGTTGGTCTACCACCCATGTTAAATTCTCCGTCCTTAATTTCCTATGAGAATTGTATACTTATTAATCGTGTCTCCTTTAACTGTTCTATCTTGTCAGTCAGACGTGAGGTCTGACTGCTTTAATCTTTCTTCGTAAGTTACACGGCAGAGTTCTGGGCCTAGTCTGGTGACATTCCTCTGAGGCCCTTCTTCGTCTTGAGTTGGACAAAAAAAAAAAGATTGCATGCTGACGCCTCATATTTTAGAAGTGGTCTCACATGCGTGTTATATAAATTCCTGAATGATTCCTTATTCAAACTTGTAAAGGCAGTTCTTACGTTGGTTAGCCTGGTATTAGTCGCTGATGATATCCACTTGAAGTGGTCTACATCAATTATAATTATTAGACAAGTTCGTTGTGGTATCAACCCTGAAGATGTTCTGCATTTCTCTCTCTCATCTCTCATTGGTACCTTAGAGTCCGGTCTCCTGTTCCCAGCACCCAGTTTCATTAGTTTGCATTTGTTTTAATTAAACTCTATAAACCACTTGTATCATTCTTTAAGCTAGTCCAATTAATCTTGTTTCTTGCAAAAGTTTCAATCCCGTCCCCAGTTCTGGTGGTGGGTCACAGAGTATAGTCTCTCCAGATGTGCTACACGTTCCCTTCCATGATCTCCTTCATCACCATGCATGATATGCAAGTTAGGGACATTGGTCTATAGTGTAGAACCTAATGACTCTCCCTTTTAATATAATGACACCACATCAAGTGTCTTCCAACGTTTTGGTAGTTCTATTCTCCTGCTTTCAGTGATATGCATATAATTGTAACTGGCGAGTCTAGGGCTCTCGTTCCTTCGTTTAGTATGGCTCCACAGCCTCAATGTGTATGCTCCTGTAGATACGGTGTCAGTTGATGAACGGGTCACAGTTGGTCAGCAGGAGTGTCAGCAGTGGTGTAGGCTGCAGGTGGCCGTCATCAACATCCCAGGGCTGATATCTGCCAGTATTGCAACACAGCGTCCAGATGAAAGGCACACACACACAAGCAGGAAAATTTAATGTTTGAGTGACTGGCAACTGCTGTCTGTGAGTATTTGTGAATGAAGAAGACAAACAAAGGTGTTCCTTGTTTGCTCGGAGCTTGTTCAGATGGAGGCTCGGAAGGGAGGGGGGGTATTGGAGGTAATAGGGGCAGTGAGGGGGGAGGGATGTAGGCGACCCACTCCCCCACCCTGTCCTTGGCCGGGCCCGGGGAGAGTGGGGCCCGCTAGACAGCATGGCTCCGCGCCCGTCCACCACACTACACGCTCCTTCCAACCTCTGCAGGAGGCCAAAGGTGGGGAAAGGAGGGTTCTCCGTTTATTCCTCATATTGGGAATTCTCCAGAGGCTTCTTCCTGCCTTAGGAAAACAAAATGTTACTCCAACCCACTGAATATTCCAAGACGGTCCCCCATCTTGTCACATAAGTAAATATTGGGTGTTCCTTGCTATCCCCTGCCCTCCCTGCACATGTGTGCACGGTGTGTGGGTGACCATGAGGGCGCGGGGTGCAGGAGGTGGCCACAGGTGGGTGATAAAGACGACAGGTGGTGTGGGCGAGGCAGGCGTGACGTCAGGGGGGCTGTGAGACTGCGTGGCACCTCGCTGGAGAGGCGAGCGCCGCTAGCCTTGGCGCTGAAGGTAAACACTGACCAAGGTGCGGCATGGGTCTCCTCGCCCACCCCCTCCACCGACCTCCACCAACTCCTCTCCTGCACTCTACCATCACCCAGGGATACGTCTCCACTGTAGCACCAGCCAGGGATACGTCTCCACTGTAGCACCAGCCAGGGACACGTCTCCACTGTAGCACCAGCCAGGGACATGTCTCCACTGTAGCACCAGCCAGGGACACGTCTCTACTGTAGCACCAGCCAGGGACACGTCTTTACTGTAGCACCAGCCAGGGACACGTCTCCACTGTAGCACCAGCCAGGGACACGTCTCTACTGTAGCACCAGCTAAGACCAGGGGCTCCTCTACTGGAGCGCCAGGGGCTCCTCTCCTCCACTGGAGCGCCAGGGGCTCCTCTCCTCCACTGGAGCGCCAGGGGCTCCTCTCCACCACTGGAGCGCCAGGGGCTCCTCTCCTCCACTGGAGCGCCAGGAGCTCCTCTCCTCCACTGGAGCGCCAGGGGCTCCTCTCCTCCACTGGAGCGCCAGGGGCTCCTCTCCTCCACTGGAGCGCCAGGGGCTCCTCTCCTCCACTGGAGCGCCAGGGGCTCCTCTCCTCCACTGGAGCGCCAGGGGCTCCTCTCCTCCACTGGAGCGCCAGGGGCTCCTCTCCACCACTGGAGCGCCAGGGGCTCCTCTCCACCACTGGAGCGCCAGGGGCTCCTCTCCACCACTGGAGCGCCAGGGGCTCCTCTCCACCACTGGAGCGCCAGGGGCTCCTCTCCACCACTGGAGCGCCAGGGGCTCCTCTCCACCACTGGAGCGCCAGGGGCTCCTCTCCACCACTGGAGCGCCAGGGGCTCCTCTCCACCACTGGAGCGCCAGGGGCTCCTCTCCACCACTGGAGCGCCAGGGGCTCCTCTCCTCCACTGGAGCGCCAGGGGCTCCTCTCCTCCACTGGAGCGCCAGGGGCTCCTCCACTGGAGCGCCAGGGGCTCCTCCACTGGAGCGCCAGGGGCTCCTCCACTGGAGCGCCAGGGGCTCCTCCACTGGAGCGCCAGGGGCTCCTCTCCACCACTGGAGCGCCAGGGGCTCCTCTCCTCCACTGGAGCGCCAGGGGCTCCTCCACTGGAGCGCCAGGGGCTCCTCTCCACCACTGGAGCGCCAGGGGCTCCTCTCCACCACTGGAGCGCCAGAGGCTCCTCTCCTCCACTGGAGCGCCAGAGGCTCCTCTCCTCCACTGGAGTGCCAGAGGCTCCTCTCCTCCACTGGAGTGCCAGAGGCTCCTCTCCTCCACTGGAGCGCCAGAGGCTCCTCTCCTCCACTGGAGCGCCAGGGGCTCCTCCACTAGAGCGCCAGAGGCTTCTCTCCACCACTGGAGCGCCAGGGGCTCCTCTCCACCACTGGAGCGCCAGGGGGCTCCTCTCCACCACTGGAGCGCCAGGGGCTCCTCTCCACCACTGGAGCGCCAGGGGCTCCTCTCCACCACTGGAGCGCCAGGGGCTCATCTCCACCACTGGAGCGCCAGGGGCTCTTCTCCTCCACTGGAGCGCCAGGGGCTGTTCTCCTCCACTGGAGCGCCAGGGGCTAGGCGTTTTCAAGAAAGAGAGACACGAAGCAGATAAATGTAATGGCTTTGTGACACAGGTCTTGCTGCTTTCTCAAGGTGACCCTTCCGGCGGGACTCCGGTCATCTGCGCACACTATCGTTTCTGCCCCCTCCCTTACCCCCTTGCCTTCACCCTCCCCCCACCCCACCCACCCCAACCCCTTTGCCTTCACACCCCTCCCCCGACCACATCTCCCGCCCCACCCCTCATGCACTCCCCAGTCCTGTCATAATTCTCTTGTAAACACTCATTCATGTTAACTTTAACTATCTTTTCCAATATACCTTCCACATATAAAATATATATATATATATAAATAACATATCGAGCCTTTGGCTCATCCTCCGAGGCCTTGACGTGGACACGAGATGCAGAGTCTGGCATGTTTATACATCTTACTTTACCCTAAACAATTTAATATTATTTGTGCCACTCCTAGATGGTTGATATGGTATCTTCCTGATCCTCTCTCCATCTCTTGCTTCGTATCTCTGTTGCACTATCTCTATATATCTTTCTGTATCTTTTTGTCTTTTTCTTAAGATATCACCATCAAGACACAGACAGTAACCGCGTGGACACAAGACAGTAACCACGTGGACACAGACAGTAACCACGTGGACACAGACAGCAACCACGTGGACACAGACAGCAACCACGTGGACACAGACAGCAACCACGTGGACACAGACAGCAACCACGTGGACACAGACAGCAACCACGTGGACACAGACAGTAACCACGTGGACACAGACAGCAACCACGTGGACACAGACAGCAACCACGTGGACACAGACAGCAACCACGTGGACACAGACAGCAACCACGTGGACACAGACAGCAACCACGTGGACACAGACAGTAACCACGTGGACACAGACAGTAACCACGTGGACACAGACAGCAACCACGTGGACACAGACAGCAACCACGTGGACACAGACAGTAACCACGTGGACACAGACAGTAACCACGTGGACACAGACAGCAACCACGTGGACACAGACAGCAACCACGTGGACACAGACAGCAACCACGTGGACACAGACAGTAACCACGTGGACACAGACAGCAACCACGTGGACACAGACAGCAACCACGTGGAAACAGACAGCAACCACGTGGACACAGACAGTAACCACGTGGACACAGACAGCAACCACGTGGACACAGTAGCCACGTGGACACAGACAGCAACCACGTGGACACAGACAGTAACCACAAGCACGGCTACAGACAGGTGGTCGCCCCACCTGCACAGAGACAGGTGGTAGGTGCAACGCAGCTGGCTGGCTGAGTGCAGGTGGGGGGCACCCACCTGCACTTCTGCCCCCTCTCCCCCCAACACATGCTGTGTCACACCCATCAACACCCTCCTCCAGGCTGCTTTCTATGCAACTTGTGCTATTCATCTCCCCCGCGACACCCCACTTTCCGTTATATCTCAGTCCGTCCTCTCCAGCGTCCCCAACGTCAATAAACTGTTGTACTAAATTGCCCGAACCAAGGACCCACGAACAGAAAACGGGGACATCACGTCAAGTTTGCGAGTCGCTATGATTCTTAGTACAGCATATTTTGGCCTTAGGGGGGGAGGGGGGATTTATATACGTCAAAATGCGACGTAGTGTTGGAGAAAACGGGCTGTGTATCGCCCTCTTGGAATCTAGGGGAGACTTAAACTGCTTCATCTACCAGTATTACTAGTTATCTTCTTTATTTGTCTGTTATCTACATTTATTACATTGTCATCTACCGTTATTACATGTTGTCTCCCTGTATTGCATATGATCTACTATTCATCGCCAATTATCTACCTTAATTGTACTTTAATAGGCAATAAAGAAGAAGATAGCTTAAATGGTACGTAGTAGTGGATATAGATAGATAACATGCGATGAAGATAGATAGGAGGCGATAACGGTAAATAGCAGGCAATAAAGCTAGATACCAGGTGATACAGGTAGATATCAACCTCAAATAAAGGTAGACAGTGTGATGACGTTGGACAATAAAGATAGATAACTATAACAAGGATAGATATCTACTATAACCATATATTTTTCCAACCTTTAATGCCCATTATCTACCTTCACTATCACCAGGTATTTACCTGTGCCTCTTCAAATTACTTGGCTCCGTCTCAATCAATACTTAACACAAAAATATTCACACAGAAATAATAAAATATAACAATTGTTCAATTTTGATCTGTTTCTGCCTAACTTTTCACATCACGGCACCACCAAGAGCAAGTCTGTGTCTTCACTCAAGAATTTGTCAGTAAACTGATCTTAATTCTCCGTTCTCTAATGTATTAAGGAAGTTATCTTACTTCTTAATGAAGTGATCTTGTTCATTAAGAAGTAAGATCAGTTCATTAAAAAGCAAGATCTCTTCATTAAGTGATCTTGTTAATGAAGTGATCTTCCTTCTTAATAAACTGATCTTACTTCGTAATGAGGTGATCATTACTAATTAATTAATTTGTTTACTAATTAACAAGTGTACTAATTATCCTCTAGTTTACGTATTATGCCCATTACTTAATTATTAATCCACGTGTTTTCTAATTACTCCCCTTCTTTCCTTGACCATACAGAGGACTGGGGATTACCGTGTGCGACGGTCACACACACACACACACACACACACACACACACACACACACACACACACACACACACACACACACACAGGCGGGACCAAAGAGCCAGAGCTCAACCCTCGCAAGCACAACTAGGTGAATACACACGAGATCACAACAAAGGGAAAAGCTACATTTCTAGTTTCCTTGTAAATTGGGTGTGCGAATAATATTGTGTCAACAAAATTATTCGCACACCCTCCGTCACGATGCGATGGAGTGCGAAAAGATACGTGAATTTAGAGACAATTCTATAACCAATGTTCCAGCGATGTGTAAATATTTCATTCAAAATGATCTGCTACCAAAAATTTTAGCCAAATATCTCCAGTTTGCTAACTGTAGGTAGTAACTAAGTGATTGTAACCTATCCACCGCTGCCCACTGGATGGGGGGCGGTGTGCAGGACAAACATATAACTTGTGACACTAGCTCTCCACATGTCAGTTGCTTAATTTAGAACCTGTACTTGAGGTCGATCTCGAACCCATTGTTGATGTGACGACTTATATTAAAGTTTGTAACTAGCTCATCAAGATTGTAACTTGCTTAGCTAAATGAATTGTGGGGTTCAGTCCCTGAGCCCATTATGTGCCTCTGTAACCCTTTCCACTACCGCCCACAAGATGGGTATAGGGGAGCATAATAAATGAACTAAACTAAAACTAACTTGTAAATTGTCAAACACAAGCTCTTCGTCACAGCCTAGAGCATCAAAGGTTAGTTGTCAGATGCAAGAAAAGACAAGGACAATATAACACTTTATTATCACAAGTAAAGTTCACATATCTCCCCAATAAGAGTGATCACAGTACCGTGGCTATCCTGGCCAGGCAGGGACAGGCTCAGGGCCGCCCGTCCTCGTGTTGTGGCAGTACTGGTAGTGACGACGAGGACCACAGTATATATATACCCACGTACAACGGAATTAGAAAGTAGAAATCTGAACTATTGAGTTGGACAAACCGGGAAACTATTTTTTACTTGTGTTGCTTTGACAAACCAAACTAACCTAACCTCCCCTAGGCCTAATACATGATATCTGAGGCGTAATATAGTATATATGTGCTATACCAGGCCTGGGAATATTTAAGATTTTGCCATTTATTTATTTAATTTTAAAATAATTCCTTACAAGTAAGTATACTACCATCTAAAAAGCAATGTACGTAGGAATTCGTGACTATTGACGATCGTCACAACAGATACTACCTAAACAGGATGGGTTGCTTCGGTTAGGATGGGTTGTCCACGGTTGTTCAACACCCTCCCAGCGAGCATAAGAAATATTGCCGGAACAACCGTGGACATCTTCAAGAGGAAACTACATTTATTCCTCCAAGGAGTGCCGGATCAACCGGGCTGTGGTGGGTACGTGGGTCTGCGGGCCGCTCCAAGCAACAGCCTGGTGGACCAAACTCTCACAAGTCAAGCCTGGCCTCGTGCCGGGCTTGGGGAGTAGAACAACTCCCAGAACCCCATCAACCAGGTTGGTTAGGGATATATATACTGACACCTGTATACCCGTTCCTCGGTGTTGATACACTGAGAGTGTAGTTTACTCCTCATCTACCCTCAGTATTAAAGTGTACTTGCCGGCTGGTCACTAAGCACTCGTAACCCTTTAAAGGTCGAGTGGTCTTAGTTTGGTCTTGGGTGTAAGGCCTATGAACCGCGAGAAGGTTATTAAAGCATCCCTTCCTCATGCTAGGCTCGTTCAAGCGGCGGTCCACCCCCCCCCCCTCCCCTTCCAAAGACGCATTTACCAATTTCTAACGTACTGTGTATTCAAAAATTGGTATTTTCTCGTACATAGCTATTCTTATTATATACTAGTTAAGCCCAGATTAGATTAAGTTAGGTCAGGTGGTTAGATTCTGTTGGCCATTATTGATATTTCCAGTACGTAGATGAAGCAGTTAGCAAGTAGAATACTTCGCCAACAGAACCTGAACACCTAACCTAACCTATGCCTAGCTATACATTAAAATTTAGTATATAATACAATGTAAATGGTAACAAGCCTATTTTAAACACACAATACGTTAAGGTTGATAATTGCGTCTTGCGGAGCAACGCAGTTATAATGAGCCTGGCCTGAGGACGGGTCGGCTCGTTGTCATTCATAAACAAGCGGGTTTGGCGGCTGGATTAACGGGCTTCTGGCCCTTGGTTGATGAGGACGGATTGTACTAAAGCCACCTCTTGAACTTACTGACTAACCCGCAAGTATACTGTAGTCCTAAACACAGACAACGACTGAAGTAAACTCAGGGTTTACACATACGAGAAATGAATACTCAAGTCTGTGTGTGTGTGTGTGTGTGTGTGTGTGTGTGTGTGTGTGTGTGTGTGTGTGTGTGTGTGTGTGTGTGTGTGTGTGTGTGTGTGTGTGTGTGTGTATCCTTTTTGAAAGCCCTCCAGCTCATCGTCAGAGTAAACGCTGTGTAGTAGGTACACTTAAGAAGACATACACTACAGTACAGTATATTAACGTCGACTTAACACATCAGTCCATTTATCCAGCAAATCAACTGATCCATCTAGCATTGAATCCAATAATCCATCGTTAATCCCCTAAACAAAAACAATATTAAACAGCTGATTGGTAAACAAAAACAATATTAAACAGCTGATTGGTAAACAAAAACAATATTAAACAGCTGGTACGTAAACAAAAACAATATTAAACAGCTCACAGTTTGACAAGTAAATATGCTTACACTATATCTGTAAGACTGACAGCTAAATAGGCTACAGTACATTTGACAGACTGATATATAAATAGGCTGACAGATATAAATAGACTGACATATAAATTAGCTTATAAATAGTCTGACATAACAGCTGACAGACAAATAAGCTAAGACGTAAACAGGCTGACAGGAAAAGCTGACAGGCTGTCAAGTAACTAGGCAGACAGAACAGCTGAAACAACAACAAATGGCAAAACAGCAAAAACAACAGCCGACAGGGAAATCTTGAACTTGTAAGTCAGCAGACCGTCAATTCTATTGAATAACAATCAATTCAGAGCTATACCAGTTAACAGTCAACTTCTCACTTAGTACAGGTTGAGTAAACAGCGGGTAGATTAACTGACTAGTAGACTGAATAATATGTAGATAGACTGAGAAGAAGTAGACAGTAGTAGTGGTGGAGGAGTTGGTCTTGAGTCACACACACACTCTTAGACCCGGAACTGAGACATGGTAGAACTGGTACACGCTGGTACCCCTTCCCCTCCCTCCCCCACTCCCCACTTCCCTCCCCCGACACCTGTAACAGTTCCAACCATCTCCCTCCCTTCCCCCACCTCCCTCCTTCCTCTCTTCCCCACCTCCCTCCCTTCCTCTCTCCCAATGGCCAATCCTTCGCCGATTTTCCACGAATATATTATATATATATATATATATATATATATATATATATATATATATATATATATATATATATATATATATATATATATATATTCCTACCAACATAGGATTATGCCTGAACGGTAGAAGTGAGTGCCCCCAAAGATACAAAACCAGAGTTCTCAATGCTTATATTCGTCGAGCGCTTGCCCACTGCTCCGAATGGAGCAATGTGAGTAGAGAGTTTGAAAGAATAACCCAAGTATTGGTGAACAATGGATATAGCAACACGGAAATAAACGCTGCTATAAGAAGACACCTGGACCGATGGTATAATCCTGAACCTAGATCAGAAAACACAATACCTCCAATAAAATTATATTACAAATCAACTATGCACAGTGAACATAAAAAAGAAGAAAGAATAATGAAAGAAATAATCCGTAAAGAGTAAAAAGCATTACTCCTAATCAAAACATAGACCTGATTATGTTCTACAAAACCAAGAAGACTTCGGACCTCCTTATCAAAAACAGCCCGAAGCCGACGGAGAACCCTCTACAGCAGTCAAGCGTTGTATACATGTACACTTGCCCCCATGAAGGATGTAACCTTCAATCTCAGTACATAGGTATGACGTCGACCAAGCTGACGAGGCGTTTGACCTGTCATCTTCAATCCGGTACCCCAAGAAATCACATGAGAAAATCCCATGACATCACCCTAACAAGAGAAATGTTAAATAAAAACACTTGTATAATAGACAAAACCCAAGATGTAAGAAGATTACAAATTTTTGAAGCAATGTACATAAAAATAGAACAACCTACCATAAATACTCAAATTACGGAACTATTCATTCTACCCACCATGAGAGTAAGAACAAGACCAGAACGTGAAGATGCCAACATAGAAGACACTGCTCGACAAACAGCGCCCACTACGCTTGATTAAACTGTGTGTGTACCCTATTTAGCCTTCTGATCCTCAGCTTCTTTTCTCCTTTATGCCTTACTCTTTTACCCTTATGTTTACCCAATGTATTCCCATTTTTACACTTGACCCCATTGTTAGATCCATTTGTATTCACCTGACCCGCTATTAGTATAAATATAATGTCATGTACTGTAACATCACTTGAGAATGAACCATTTAGGTTCGAAACGTTGTGCAATTTTATAATAAGTGTAATACATTCTACAGTTATTCACTTCTTTTTCTTCACCTTGAAAACGAACATGACTTTTGGTGAACTCCTCTTCCAGCTGAACCCTGATGCAAGAGCACTAGTAAGAGGGATAGAAGCCCTAAACCAGAAAATAGTTAATAAGGAATATGCTGTCATATTCAATGAGACATATATATATATGACAATGTCAGACCACGGAGGAAAATGAAACAGGAATTTCCTTAAGTACTTTCGTATATTAAATACATCTTCAGAAGGTATGCCTTCTGAAGATGTATTTAATATACGAAAGTACTTAAGGAAATTCCTGTTTCATTTTCCTCCGTGGTCTGACATTGTCACATTCTTAATCACGTGTTTATTTTCGTGATATACACACACACACACATATATATATATATATATATATATATATATATATATATATATATATATATATATATAACTGAAAACTCACACCCCAGAAGTGACTCGAACCCATACTCCCACAACTGGTATGTACAGGGACGCCTTAATCCGCTTGACCATCACGACCGGACATAAGGAAGTGATAGCCGAGGCTATATGAACCACTTCCCCGCCGGCACTCGGATGGTAATCTTGGGCATAGCATTTTATCAAATCACCTCATTCTTTGGGGCACACGTGAGGAACACAAATGCAAACAAGCCTGAATGGTCCCCAGGACTATATACAACTGAAAACTCACACCCCAGAAGTGACTCGAACCCATACTCCCACAACTGGTATGTACAGGGACGCCTTAATCCGCTTGACCATCACGACCGGACATAAGGAAGTGATAGCCGAGGCTATATGAACCACTTCCCCGCCGGCACTCGGATGGTAATCTTGGGCATAGCATTTTATCAAATCACCTCATTCTTTGGGGCACACGTGAGGAACACAAATGCAAACAAGCCTGAATGGTCCCCAGGACTATATACAACTGAAAACTCACACCCCAGAAGTGACTCGAACCCATACTCCCACAACTGGTATGTACAGGGACGCCTTAATCCGCTTGACCATCACGACCGGACATAAGGAAGTGATAGCCGAGGCTATATGAACCACTTCCCCGCCGGCACTCGGATGGTAATCTTGGGCATAGCATTTTATCAAATCACCTCATTCTTTGGGGCACACGTGAGGAACACAAATGCAAACAAGCCTGAATGGTCCCCAGGACTATATACAACTGAAAACTCACACCCCAGAAGTGACTCGAACCCATACTCCCACAACTGGTATGTACAGGGACGCCTTAATCCGCTTGACCATCACGACCGGACATAAGGAAGTGATAGCCGAGGCTATATGAACCACTTCCCCGCCGGCACTCGGATGGTAATCTTGGGCATAGCATTTTATCAAATCACCTCATTCTTTGGGGCACACGTGAGGAACACAAATGCAAACAAGCCTGAATGGTCCCCAGGACTATATACAACTGAAAACTCACACCCCAGAAGTGACTCGAACCCATACTCCCACAACTGGTATGTACAGGGACGCCTTAATCCGCTTGACCATCACGACCGGACATAAGGAAGTGATAGCCGAGGCTATATGAACCACAACCAGGTATATAGTCCTGGGGACCATTCAGGCTTGTTTGCATTTGTGTTCCTCACGTGTGCCCCAAAGAATGAGGTGATTTGATAAAATGCTATGCCCAAGATTACCATCCGAGTGCCGGCGGGGAAGTGGTTCATATAGCCTCGGCTATCACTTCCTTATGTCCGGTCGTGATGGTCAAGCGGATTAAGGCGTCCCTGTACATACCAGTTGTGGGAGTATGGGTTCGAGTCACTTCTGGGGTGTGAGTTTTCAGTTGTATATAGTCCTGGGGACCATTCAGGCTTGTTTGCATTTGTGTTCCTCACGTGTGCCCCAAAGAATGAGGTGATTTGATAAAATGCTATGCCCAAGATTACCATCCGAGTGCCGGCGGGGAAGTGGTTCATATAGCCTCGGCTATCACTTCCTTATGTCCGGTCGTGATGGTCAAGCGGATTAAGGCGTCCCTGTACATACCAGTTGTGGGAGTATGGGTTCGAGTCACTTCTGGGGTGTGAGTTTTCAGTTGTATATAGTCCTGGGGACCATTCAGGCTTGTTTGCATTTGTGTTCCTCACGTGTGCCCCAAAGAATGAGGTGATTTGATAAAATGCTATGCCCAAGATTACCATCCGAGTGCCGGCGGGGAAGTGGTTCATATAGCCTCGGCTATCACTTCCTTATGTCCGGTCGTGATGGTCAAGCGGATTAAGGCGTCCCTGTACATACCAGTTGTGGGAGTATGGGTTCGAGTCACTTCTGGGGTGTGAGTTTTCAGTTGTATATAGTCCTGGGGACCATTCAGGCTTGTTTGCATTTGTGTTCCTCACGTGTGCCCCAAAGAATGAGGTGATTTGATAAAATGCTATGCCCAAGATTACCATCCGAGTGCCGGCGGGGAAGTGGTTCATATAGCCTCGGCTATCACTTCCTTATGTCCGGTCGTGATGGTCAAGCGGATTAAGGCGTCCCTGTACATACCAGTTGTGGGAGTATGGGTTCGAGTCACTTCTGGGGTGTGAGTTTTCAGTTGTATATAGTCCTGGGGACCATTCAGGCTTGTTTGCATATATATATATATATATATATATATATATATATATATATATATATAAAAAGTTTGTGAGGGTACCACCTCTGGTGCCAATGTGGGGACCCATAGCCTCGGAGAAGAAAATAAAAAGTATTCAGAGGAGACCTTGTGGTTTCTCACTGAACACTAATATTATCTTCTCCTACCACCCCCATTCTTGTGTATGTACACATATATATTTACTTTATTTGAACTTTGTTACAAAAAAGGAGTTACATATAGGTTACAAAGATGGTTGTCATAGGTTGTCGAGTTCCTCCAGCTCCTCAGATGGCGGGCAGGAACCCTGGATGCAGTGCGCATTTCCCCTCTGTATCGCCACACTGAGGCGCTGGAAAAGAAAGCTTGCAGCTCTCGGGTCCCTTGTTGTTTCAATGAGCCTAGAACCCAGTTCCTTAAAAAAACTGGTAGCACTTTTACCCCAGGCGCCGAGCGTCTCAGAAGCAATGGGGACAAAATTGTAGTGGTGATCCAGTTCTCTATACTGTATAGAGATATGTATATATGTATACTGTATCTATACTATATATATATATATATATATATATATATATATATATATATATATATATATATATATTTTAATAATTTTACATAGGGGTACCAACTCTGGTTGAGTTTGTAGGGACTCTCGACCTCGAAGACGACAACATGCAGCATCCGGGGGAGCTTTGTGGGGCACCCGCATATAATCACATATTGCATTCTTCTACCACCCCCTATATTTTATTTTATTTAAAACTTCATTACACAAAAAAGGGTTACAACATTGGTTACATGCAAGGTACAAGGCTACTTGTCACAGGTTGTCGAGTTCCTCCAGCTCCTCAGATAACGGGTAGGAATATATATATACTGTATATATTATATATATATATATATATATATATATATATATATATATATATATATATAATCTAAAAACTCCACACCCCAGAGGGATTCGAACCCAGACAGCCAGGAGCACTAAGCACATGATGTACCTGGTTCCTTTATTTGCAAGATTTCTCTATTTGTGGAAAACTTGCAAAAAATAATAACTAAATACTGTGTCTGCATAGCGTGATAGATATTATATTTAAGTGTATGGTGTTCAAGTGTACAGTATATATATATACAGCAACTAAACTTGGTCTAATATAATTAATCCCAAGCACGATATACGCACTCCTAGGCCTATTGCATGTAGGCCAGGTATGTACTGTATTATACAGCAGAAAGGTTAAGATAGGTCGCTACAAGTTCTCTAGTTATAACTCATTAGTAGGAAAAAAAAAGAGGTGCAATAGTCTACATTATGTACACATTCGCCCCAGTCGCTATATGTACTGTCATTTACCAATATGTTGCATGAAACAAAAGATACCAATAGCACTTACCTCTAAGAAAAATATAGATTTTTCACACGTCGTTTGTGTTCATCGCCATTCATCACTGTTGAATAGCAGTGCCTCTCATTTTAATTACATAAATAGTTTGTATGTCATCAAAATAATCTGTTATGTCACATCACAGAGTTCTGTTCCTGTTTTGTCATCTTAGGAGCTTTAGGACTAATGAGATCAGAGGACATTGTTACTGGTGTCCAAGGAATGTGGGACATTGTTACTGATGTCCCAGGAATGTGGGACATTGTTACTCGTGTCCCAGGAATGTGGGACATTGTTACTGGTGTCCCAGGAATGTAGGACATTGTTACTGGTGTCCCAGGAATGTGGGACATTGTTACTGGTATCCCAGGAATGTGGGACATTGTTACTGGTATCCCAGGAATGTGGGACATTGTTACTGGTGTCCCAGGAATGTGGAACATTGTTACTGGTGTCCCAGGAATGTGGAACATTGTTACTGGTGTCCCAGGAATGTGGGACATTGAAGTAGATAGTAATCTGTTCCGAGAGTGGCCAACATCTACACTAATACACTCTCTTAAACTATGGAAGCGCGAGCGCGCACACACTCTACACACACACACAAAATATATATTGACTAATGTTTCAACTTGACAATAGTCTAGGGCGAACCGAAACAACGAGACGCGTTCTTTTATCTAATGTAGTAAGTCTATTGTTAATATATAATTATCACTTACTACCCGCCACACACTTTGTTAGATGTTACATACACAGAGCTAACCGCACCACATACTATGGTGGCAACACCTCATTAGGAGGTGTTGGTGGAGCGGCCACCTCCCTGTAGTCTGTTGGTCAGCATCACTAAGTTGACAACCCGCCGGAGACTCTTGCTCTGCTTGGCCTCCTCTTCCTCGTACTTCTGTAGAAGTGCAGACAATATATTGGTCAGAGGGAGAGTGGAAAGAGGTAGATGTGAAGGGGAAAAAAAAAAGATACTGAGAGCCAGAAATGGCAACCATCTACAAGATGGCAAGCATAACATAAGACGCTCTGCCATCAACAGCCTCTTGCTGGTTGTGTCATTCAGAAGAACAGTACTCATTCGTCCTTGGCAAACTCACATTAGAAACATGTTCTCTCAACAAGTAAATACAAGTGAAGGCAAGTAAACCAACCATATGAAGGTCCTGGCAGACAGCTTTTTCTAGTAACTAACATGATTGTAACTATACGCCAAATAATGTTCATTCATTATGGAAACTAAAATTAATTTAATTAAACAGATAAGTTTGTAGTATACAGTTATTCCCAGTGAAGTACTTTTATTAGTTTATAGACGGGGGGGGGGGGAGGGAGGAAAAGAAAGAGAAAGGGAGAGAAAGAGAAAGGGAGAGAGAAAGAGAAAGGGAGAGAAAGAAAGACAGAAAGAGACAAAGAGAGAGAGAGACAGAATATCCTCAGTCAGCAGGATCATCAATATCTTCCCCAGATAAGAAAATCTTGCACTATTTCCTCATCCACGCTAAAATCAAGTCATCCAAAACTGACAAAAATTATAACATACGCTTGCAATCAACAACCCGCGCAGCGAGAACCTTCTTTCCCTCGCTGTGTGTCCATAGTAACACAGGTGGTGCCTACCTTAGGGTTCCTGGAGGGGAGCTCGGCGAGGTATTCCCTGATACCGGGCCTGGTGGGGTCTGCTATCGTGATTGAAGAGAGGCAGCCGTCGACGGTGCCCAGCACGATGGTGCGTCCGTCCTCGCTCGCTGCGATCGCCGTCAGCTCCGCCTGCACTCTGTAGTTGGCGATCATCTTCCCGTCCGTCACCCTGTGCGGGGAGGTCGGTGAGCTGAGTGGGAGCCCGGGTACAAGAGGGCTGATACATTCGTCTTATTTTCTGCCCTGCGACAGTTCGCTGAACTGGATTTTCACTCTTTCAACAGCGGATGAACAGAGGCAACATAATACGCGATCCTCGTGTTAGACCCTATTTATGTGTCACAAATGATCAGAGCCCAATACTCCGCTGAGAACTTAGTGATAACGAATTCGAATCTCCAGTGATAAGGAGTTGGTGTCAATTCATTGTAAGCTAGAATAGGTTGGGTAACTAATTCCCAACCAGTTTGGATCACGAATAGGTTGAAGAAAAGACTGCAACTCGGGTCATCGTAGGAGCCTAGTTAGTAAAACAACACTTGACCTCTATTGCCGAGGTCGACTTTAACACTTGATGGTTAATCCTTACCTGCTAATTACAATATACAGCATACCAGAGAAATTAAGGCAGTTAAGACACACGTTGGTGACCACAAGGCTCCCAAACCCACCTGAAGACTCTGATGGTCTTGCGGCCGCCGTGGTAGTAGAGGACGTACTCGTCTGTGCGGGTGAAGAGGCAGATGACGGAGAACACGCCCTCGGCTACCCTGGGGATGAGGGTCCTGACGGAGGTGCCGTGACGCAGCTCCAGCAGCTCGAGGCCGCCCCGCGCAGGAGCATACAGCCCGAACCGCCCGTCCTTGGACACCTGCCGCCCACCAAATACACACCTGATTATCACTTCTCAACCAGCAAGTCACTACATGAAGCGAAAACAAAAGCGCATCCACAGTTTACAGAGCATCCCTTACTGCAGTAAGATAGAGCACTCAATGCATGTATTAAAATGTGATTTCAGTATGGTGTGCAGAAGACAGGTTCCATAGTAATGGAAGAGGCTGCTCGTGTATACTTATTGGTTTTAACTGCTTCTCGCCTGACAGAAAAATTTACAATTTAAAATCAAATTATAACAGAATGGAGGAAAAAAGGGAACACTTTAAAACAGCAATAGGTAGAAAAAGTCGCCATAAGTTCACAAGAGAACTCGTGTACAGAAGAGGATGAAGTAATTACGGCCAAATCACTGGAAACACTCCAGCAAGTACACACACACACACACACAATCCTGGAGTATGCGGCCCCAGCATGGAGCCCGTACCTTGTCAAGCACAAGACGAAGCTAGAAAAAGTCCAAAGGTATGCCACTAGACTAGTCCCGGAACTGAGAGGCATGAGTTACGAGGAAAGGCTGCGGGAAATGCACCTTACGACACTGGAAGACAGAAGAGTAAGGGGAGACATGATCACAACCTACAAAATCCTCAGAGGAATCGACCGGGTAAACAAGGATAAACTATTCAACACTGGTGGGACGCGAACAAGGGGACACAGGTGGAAACTGAGTACCCACATGAGCCACAGAGACGTTAGAAGGAACTTTTTCAGTGTCAGAGTAGTTAACGGATGGAATGCATTAGGCAGTGATGTGGTGGAGGCTGACTCCATACACAGTTTTAAATGTAGATATGATAGAGCCCAGTAGGCTCAGGAATCTGTACACCAGTTGATTGACAGTTGAGAGGCGGGACCAAAGAGCGAAAGCTCAACCCCCGCAAGCACAAATAGGTGAGTACACACACACACACCCACCCACCCACCTTTCCACCCCACTTTGCTATGGACCGTACGAACTTCTTGGAACGGATGTCTATAATATTCCCCTTGTCCTGGTCGATGAGGGCCACCTGGGTGGGCTTGTTAGGCAGTGGCACCACCAGGTGGAAGTCCTTATACGCCGGGTATTTGAGGGGTATCTTGTGCACCAGTGTGCCGGTCCGGGCGTGGTACACCAGCAACGCCTCCTGCCAATATCAACACCATGATTAATTGATGAAGATTAGGCCACCCAAGAGGTGGCACGGGCATGAATAGCCCGTCAAATATCAAGGCGTATTATTAAGATTTTTCCATAAACATGTAAACCATTAATGTCATACAAAACGGTGGAATTTTCTCACAGTTTACAATTACATATATTTTATAATAGGAGTAACCAAGATCACAATTATCAATTTAGCATTGGGCAAAATAAATCATGTATTTAGTCTCAACAAGGGTCACAAATAGTTTTAGTTGGTGCTTCATCTTATATTTCATCAACCGTTTTCTATGACGTTATTTATTTCATTTTCCTTAAGACGAATCATTGTCATTTAAAAAATTCCCGCAACAATTTATATATAAATTTAGCAGCAACCAGTTGGCTAGGTTAAACAATCGAATATAAGAAACTGGTAAAGAAACTTATGGAAACAGACTAAAACAATTACTGAATCCTGCGACTAGTAGGAGAGTGTTATCGCTTGTTGTCAACTCCAGTCAACCATGGCTGCAGGAGAGAGCCGGACTATGTTGAGAAAACCACGGCGATTGAGACTGTCACATCCTAGAGATGAAAGACGTGGGGTTAATGATTGACCCCCGCCATCACCCCCCCTCCCTCACCTTGAAGCCGTCCACGGAAGGGATGACAAGGAAGAGGCCGTCAGCGGTGACAGCAATCTGCTTGAAGGCGCGGACCGGGTAGTCGAGCTCGTAGACGACCTGGCCGCTGGGGATGGCGCGCGTCACCAGGTGGCCCGCGAGCTCTCCCGTCTCCAGCGACACCTGCCAAGAGCGCAGCTAGTTAGACGGGTCATTTGACGGACACCGTCAGCAAGGGACCAATAGCTTGGCGCGGTTACTCAATGAGGGTTTCCTCAGGACCAGACAACAACGTGACAAGTGGTAATTGTATCGCTAATGAATTAATCATTTCAGTGAGTAATTTACACAGTTTCTTTGTCAATTTAAAGGCATTCATTAATTCTAAATTAAATGTACGATAAAACAACAACGCAACTAAAACTGCGGTGTATTAAAAAGTCCGATAAATATCACTTCTACAATTACTGTTTTGTAAAAAGTAACTCCGCATATTTACAGTCACGAAGATGATAAGTGTAAGACGGCGAGGCTTCGGGCCAGGAGGGAGGGAATTATCAGGGGAAGTGTCAAGCCATTACGACTCTCTAGCACTGGGAAGGGATCAGGATAAGGATTTGGGATGGGATGGGGGGGGTGAAGGATTGGTGCCCAACCACTTGGACGGTCGGGGATTGGACGCCTCTTGTACAACTGTACTGTTATTTGTGACAAATCGTGCCGCTAACATAAGCAGAGTAACGCACCTTACACACGGTAACGCTGCCACAACCACAGTAACGCACCTTGGATATAGTGACGCACTTGGTGTCGCCGTCGAGAAGCAGCAGCTGCTGAACGTTCTTGTGCTCCGCCTTGAACACCACCGCCTCGGCCCGCACGTTCCAGATCAACACGTTCCCCGACTCAGTTGACACAATATACCTGAGGAGATAAGAGTGAAGTGATGACCCAAAGGTTACTTGTGAGGGAGAGATCACAATCACAGTGAGTTCAATCGTGAGTAAGAGGTCACAATGGCGGACGTTGAGATTGTGACCAACACAACGTTGAGAGGTGAGAAGTCCACTCACCGGAAACAAGTAGCTTGAACTAGAAAAAGTGGGAAAAGTGATATGAAAAGAGGAGGTAAAGAAGCGTGAAGGGCAGTGAGGGAGGGGCAAGGACTGTGAAGGGCAGTGAGGGAGGGGCAAGGACTGTGAAGGGAAGTGAGGGAGGGGCAAGGACTGTGAAGGGAAGTGAGGGAGCATCACTTCCTAATACATTCCATTAATAAATTTAATGCATTAGGCAGTGATGTGGTGGAGGCAGACTCCATACACAGTGTCTAATGTAGATATGATAAGAGCCCAGTAGGCTCAGGAATCTGTACATCAGTTGATTGACAGTTGAGAGGTGGGACCAAAGAGCCAGAGCTCAACCCCCGCAAGGACAACTAGGCGAGTACACAGACACACACACACACACACACACACATACATACATATGCGCGCGCCTCGAGGCTGAATGGAGAGTGCTCGGGGGTCCGAGGCGGAAACAAATGGGCAGAGTTTCTTTAACCTGATGCACCTGTTCTCCTAGCAGTAAATAGGTACCTGGGACTTAGACGGCTACTACGGGCTGCTTCCTGGGAATGTGCGCATGTGTTAGATAGAAATACGTGTAGTAGACATGATAAGAGGAAAAATATAGACGGTTAGAAAGGCGGGGTCCAAGAGCTAATAGCTCGATTCTGCAACACAAATAGTATACACACACAGAGAGAAGCTTGCGATGCTACTCACCGGCTGTTGTTGGTGATGCCTGCATGGGTGACGATAGCGCCCAGAGGGGAGTCTGCCAGCTTGCTGACCAGCTTGCCCAACCGCAGGTTCCAGATGCCCACACAGTTCCTGGTCACTGTCACCGCTACCGGGTTGTTCGGTGCCAGGCTGCCAACATCACGAAGAGTCACATCTTAAAATCCCACACGTTAACAAGGTATTTGATTCTAAAATTTAAGAAAGAAAAGAAGATATTAATTACCAGAGATAAAGGAAGGAGCGGATACAATCGGATACGAAAGCCTATGAGGCCAGGTAAGATGTGAACAGATGGTGATGAAGCCTTGTGTTGGCCACTCACAAAGATATATAATAAGAAGCAACGAAAGAACTACCTCGAACCTGGACGACAAACAGTAATCAATATACAGAAAGCTAGAGAGCGGAGGCTTTACACTAGAGGCCTGTGTACTTCACGGCCCAACCATGCAAAGTAATGAAAAGGAGACACAAATATAACAGTGAAACATCAGAAGAAAAGGGCATTTATAACAAAAGGCCAACTTGGGTTCAGTTCAGAGATAACAAATCCCGCTTCCACAACCTGATCAAGTTTACAATATGGCGACGGAGCATATATATATATATATATATATATATATATATATATATATATATATATATATATATATATATATATATATATATATATATATATATATATATATATATATATATATATATATATGTCGTACCTAGTAGCCAGAACGCACTTCTCAGCCTACTATGCAAGGGCCGATTTGCCTAATAAGCCGAGTTTTCCTGAATTAATATATTTTCTCTAATTTTCTCCTTATGAAATGATAAAGCTACCCATTTCATTATGTATGAGGTCAATTTTTTTTATTGGAGTTAAAATTAACGTAGATAAATGACCGAACCTAACCAACCCTACCTAACCTAACCTAACCTATCTTTATAGGTTAGGTTAGGTTAGGTAGCCGAAAAAGTTAGGTTAGGTTAGGTTAGGTAGGTTAGGTAGTCGAAAAACAATTAATTCATGAAAACTTGGCTTATTAGGCAAATCAGGCCTTGCATAGTAGGCCGAGAAGTGCATTCTGGCTACTAGGTACGACATATATATATATATATATATATATATATATATATATATATATATATATATATATATATATATATATATGTCGTACCTAGTAGCCAGAACGCACTTCTGGCTACTAGGTCGACTACTACTTTTCGACTACCTAACCTACCTAACCTAACCTAACTTTTTCGGCTACCTAACCTAACCTAACCTATAAAGATAGGTTAGGTTAGGTTAGGTAGGGTTGGTTAGGTTCGGTCATATATCTACGTTAATTTTAACTCCAATAAAAAAAATTGACCTCATACATAATGAAATGGGTAGCTTTATCATTTCATAAGAAAAAAATTAGAGAAAAAACATTAATTCATGAAAACTTGGCTTATTAGGCAAATCGGGCCTTGCATAGTAGGCTGAGAAGTGCGTTCTGGCTACTAGGTATATATATATATATATATATATATATATATATATATATATATATATATATATATATATATTTGTTGACTGACAGAGAGGCTTTGACACAGTGCCCTATAGGAGACGTCAGCATGTTGTAGGGAACAGAAAGGCGAGCTACTGGATTAGGGAACACCCAAGTAACAGAAGGCAGCGACACAACCCATGTAAACATGGGTCCAATTACTGACCATGGCTAGTATTTGGACCCAAGTTTAAAATGACACAAACGAAGTGATGGATATAAACACTGTGTAAGACCACACACTTTTAAAAGAACAGCAACACTTAGCTATCACCATCAACACAATTTCTCATCTTTGCCATCCTGAATCCATTTCCACTCATATGTTTATTTTTGTCTTTATCCTCACACACACACACACACACACACACACACACACACACACACACACACACACACACACACACACACACACACACACACATAGAAGACATCGATAACGTCCAATCTCTGCCAAATCATGAACATTGATGCGCCGCTGTGAGTGCTGCGTCTTTCAGCAACACCACTCGTGCAGTCATCGATAGGAACACCTTCATGCAAACTGCACGTATCGCGAAGAAGACTGCAAGGTGGAGCGAGGACGCCTGGACATACAGCAAGAGCAATATGGCGAATAATTTCCACTCAAAACAAGTGCAATATAATAATGATGAGTGCAAGGAACAGGAGGCCGCGGACATCCAGGCTGAGTGGACAGCGCTCGTAATCCTATGGCCTGGGGATCGATCCCCGACGATGGTGGAAACAAATGGGCAGAGTTTCTCTCATCCTGTTCACCTTGCAGTAAATAGGTATCCGGGAGTTAGACAGCTGGTACGGGCTGCTTCATGTGTGTGTGTGTGTGTGTGTGAAAAAACAAAAGTTGATAGACAGTTGAGAGGCAGGCCGAAAGAGCCAGAGGTCAATCCCCGCAAGTACAACTAGGTAAGTATAACTAGGTACATACAAGTTACTACGACAAATATCCCTCCTGAAATCGGACCGAGAAAAAGACCCGGAGTTAGACACCACATTGAACTTACGGTACACATAAACCAGATAACATCAGCTGTATATGCAAGGATGGACTACTTATCACAACAACTATCCTCAGATTTATGAGTAAGTAGTTAATCACAACTTGAAATCCTACATACATTAACCAATTCAGGAACAGGCAATATCAGCTGGAAAGAACTCAAGAATTGTGCCACCAAATGCAATATAATAATGCAAATAACGCCAAACCTGAGAAGTTCAAGAAACAACTCAACCTCAACTTACAAGACGTCTAAGAGCTCTAACTCAAACACAAGCACAGTTAAGTGAGTACATACACATACGTTTATATTTTGTGGGAGCCTGTATTCTTCAAGAACCTTCCTCACTGACATCAACTCGCGACCTCTTACAACCTTTACTCATCCATCTGGCACCCCTCAGACACCTTACTCACCCCGTCACCCACACACACGTGTCCCCCCACCCCAACATAGCTCCCTTACGCCCCCACACCCCCACATCCCTCAACCTTCACCCTCCTCCCCCTCTCACCTGATGTCGTCCACCTGCAGCTCGTGGCGGTCGATGACGTGTACCTGCTCGAAGATGTTGTTGATGTTCCAGACCTTGACTGTCCTGTCCAGCGAGGAGGTGATCACCTGCAGGAGACACAGGCCCTTCATCCTGGGAGTCACCAGCGTGGACGCGCGCGTGGCACACACACACACACACACACACACACACACACACACACACACACACACACACACCTTGCTGTTTGGCTGCGGTCTCCCACAACTGTGTGTGTGTGTGTGTGTGTGTGTGTGTGTGTGTGTGTGTGTGTGTGTGTGTGTGTGTGTGTGTGTGTGTGTGTGTGTGTGTGTGTGTGTGTGTGTGTGTGTGCGCGCGCGCGCGCGCGCGTTATTTTTTTATTTTTATTATTTTGCAGGAAATATTAAACTGTTACGAACCTTTAAACAATATATATCACAAACTTAAATACAGAGCATCAAAAGCCAGTTGCAGAAGACTATATAAGACCGTGCTAGGGGTCGTGCTAGGGGGTCATGCTAAGGGTCGTGCTAGGGGTCGTGCTAGGGGTCGTGCTAAGGGTCGTGCTAGGGGTGCTAGCACGTACTAAGGAAGAGGACGTGCTCAAGCATGTCTCACACTCCTATTACTTGGACCAACTGATTGACTTCACCTGGGTCAACTGACGCTTATAAAGAGCTGTCTCTAGATGTGCCATATGTGACACAGCTGTGCTTGGTGCACCATTATCACAGGTGAGGGCCGTACCCTTTGAACGTGTTAGAGACATGGTGGAGGGGCGCTAGAGACATGGTGGAGGTGCACTGGACATGGTGGAGGTGCACTGGACATGATGGAGGTGCACTGGACATGATGGAGGTGCACTGGACATGGTGGAGGGGCGCTACAGACATGGTGGAGGTGCACTGGACATGGTGGAGGTGCACTGGACATGATGGAGGTGCACTGGACATGGAGGTGCACTGGACATGGTGGAGGTGCACTGGACATGGTGGAGGTGCACTGGACATGGTGGAGGGGCGCTACAGACATGGTGGAGGTGCACTGGACATGGTGGAGGTGCACTGGACATGGTGGAGGTGCACTGGACATGATGGAGGTGCACTGGACATGATGGAGGTGCACTGGACATGGTGGAGGTGCACTGGACATGGTGGAGGTGCACTGGACATGGTGGAGGGGCGCTACAGACATGGTGGAGGTGCACTGGACATGGTGGAGGTGCACTGGACATGATGGAGGTGCACTGGACATGATGGAGGTGCACTGGACATGGTGGAGGTGCACTGGACATGGTGGAGGTGCACTGGACATGGTGGAGGTGCACTAGACATGGTGGAGGTGCACTGGACATGGTGGAGGTGCACTGGACATGGTGGAGGTGCACTAGACATGGTGGAGGTGCACTGGACATGGTGGAGGTGCACTAGACATGGTGGAGGTGCACTGGACATGGTGGAGGTGCACTAGACATGGTGGAGGTGCACTAGACATGGTGGAGGTGCACTAGACATGGTGGAGGTGCACTAGACATGGTGGAGGTGCACTAGACATGGTGGAGGTGTGCCAGGAGACCTACAGAGTTCCAGGAGCCGACGACCAGCGCCACCATGTGTATAATACGGCCGAAGTGAGCGTCGAGGACCTTGAGGAGCTCCTGACTCTCCAGCCCCCACACGTACAGGCTCTTCCTGTAATACAGCAACACATACACATTAATATAATCAAATGAAATAGTAATAGTGATTGTAATCATAATATACCATTTATAAAATATTTAAATACAGAGTTGATTAGGCTGAATTCCATTCTTTGGAGAGCTGTTAGCAGTCAAATATTGCGGGTGTTCCTAGTAGCCTCAGTCGTTACAGAATTGAGTTCATTCGAAAAACATTTTGAGATATACATTATACCAAAAGATATTAAATGAAGTTACTCTTGGGAGAATATCTAGAGATCGTTTACATGAAATGGAATATCACCGGTGTCTGATTGGCAGTAATCACAATATAACATACGTCAGAGATACACTAGAGTTATTAACCACTGTCGCTCTCTTGGTAAGGTGACCTGGGTAGCGGGCCATCCAGCGCTCTCCTCTATCCTCCTCCACCCATCTTTAAAACTCATACCCACCCATTTAGTGCCAAGTCTCATACCCATGTAACCCTATCCATAAATTGCCATACTAATCTAGCCCCCTCCTACTCCAATACCCACCTAGTCCAACCTACTCCAATACCCACCTATTCCAACCTACTCCAATACCCACCTAGTCCAACCTACTCCAATACCCACCTAGTCCAACCTACTCCAATACCCACCTAGTCCAACCTACTCCAATACCCACCTAGTCCAACTTACTCCAATAATAAACTAGTTCCGTAATCCACAACCCCACTTAGCCTCCATCTACTACAATACCGACATAGTCCCACCACCTCCCATACCCACCTAGTCCTCTCTCCAGTACGCACCTGACGCCAGCGACGGCGTACTTGTAGCCCTTGGAGAGGACGCACGAGTTCGACTTGAGAAGCTGCGTAGAAATGTTCCTGATGCCGTGAGGGAGCTTCAGCGTCCACGCTCTTCCCTGCTCCACCTCCCACACCTGTCAGGGTAAAGATATGCCTCAAACATACGTCTCAAACATATGCCTCAAACATACGTCATTATACTCCACACGCCTCCATCAATATATTGATAAGCAATTATTAAAAACTTATATTAAAAATCAAACATTTTATTCGTAAATGTTTGTACAGTTAAAGTTAACATGAGAGTATAGTACATCGTTTACTTAAGAGAAAATCAAAATAACAGCGTAATATTATTAATTCTGTTATTAATTTTTAATTATGTACAATGCTAGAGGTGGGGGTACCCGGCGTGGCTCGGGTGTCGGCGGGCCACATCTTCACTACACACGACCATCATCACTGTAGCTATCTTCAACCTTCCCTACCCTTCCCCACCTGCCCTACCCTTCACCACCTTCTCTACCCTTCACCACCTACCCTACCCTTCACCACCTACCCTACCCTTCACCACCTACCCTACCCTTCACCACCTTCTCTACCCTTCACCACCTACCCTACCCTTCACCACCTTCTCTACCCTTCACCACCTTCTCTACCCTTCACCACCTTCTCTACCCTTCACCACCTACCCTACCCTTCACCACCTTCCCTACCCTTCACCACCTTCCCTACCCTTCACCACCTTCTCTACCCTTCACCACCTTCCCCACCCTTCACCACCTTCTCTACCCTTCACCACCTTCCCTACCCTTCACCACCTTCCCTACCCTTCACCACCTTCTCTACCCTTCACCACCTTCCCTACCCTTCACCACCTTCTCTACCCTTCACCACCTTCCCTACCCTTCACCACCTTCCCTACCCTTCACCACCTTCCCTACCCTTCACCACCTTCTCTACCCTTCACCAGCTTCTCTACCCTTCACCACCTACCCTACCCTTCACCACCTTCCCTACCCTTCACCACCTTCCCTACCCTTCACCACCTTCCCTACCCTTCACCACCTTCCCTACCCTTCACCACCTTCCCTACCCTTCACCACCTTCCCTACCCTTCACCACCTTCCCTACCCTTCACCACCTTCCCTACCCTTCACCACCTTCTCTACCCTTCACCACCTACCCTACCCTTCACCACCTTCCCTACCCTTCACCACCTTCCCTACCCTTCACCACCTTCCCTACCCTTCACCACCTTCCCTACCCTTCACCACCTACCCTACCCTTCACCACCTTCTCTACCCTTCACCACCTTCCCTACCCTTCGCCACCTGCCCTACCCTTCGCCACCTGCCCTACCCTTCACCACTTTCCCTACCCTTCACCACCTTCCCTACCCTTCACCACTTCCCCTACCCTTCACCACCTTCGCTACCCTTCACCACCTTCCCTACCCTTCACCACCTTCCCTACCCTTCACCACCTTCCCTACCCTTCACCACCTTCCCTACCCTTCACCACCTTCCCTACCCTTCACCACCTTCCCTACCCTTCACCACCTTCCCTACCCTTCACCACCTTCCCTACCCTTCACCACCTACCCTACCCTTCACCACCTTCTCTACCCTTCACCACTTTCCCTACCCTTCGCCACCTGCCCTACCCTTCGCCACCTGCCCTACCCTTCACCACTTTCCCTACCCTTCACCACCTTCCCTACCCTTCACCACCTTCCCTACCCTTCACCACCTTCCCTACCCTTCACCACCTTCCCTACCCTTCACCACCTTCCCTACCCTTCACCACCTTCCCTACCATTCACCACCTTCCCTACCCTTCACCACCTTCCCTACCCTTCACCACCTTCCCTACCCTTCACCACCTTCCCTACCCTTCACCACCTTCCCTACCCTTCACCACCTTCCTCCACCTTCCCTACCCTTCACCACTTTCCCTACCCTTCACCACAACTTTTCAGTGAGACTGGTGAGAGGTAGGGGGGGCTGAGACAGGCGGATGAGGGGGCTGAGACAGGCGGGAGGGGGGGGCAGAGACAGGCAGGTGGAGGGGGCTAAGACAGGCGGGTGAGGGGGATGATACAGGCAGGTGAGGGGACTGAGACAGGAGGGTGGGGGTGGGTCTGCCCCTTTGTCCTCTTTAAACAGAAGGCGGGGGGGGGGGGCGACAATGGGGACCCCATGAAGTAGTTAGAGATGAGAGATGGGTAGCAGAGTGTACAAAACTGCATTATTTCCAGCGACCTTACAACCTGCATAAACCAGAGTGGTGGCTCCCAGCCAGCGGCCACTGGGAGAACTTGAAGAGGTCCATGGCAATTCTATTTTTAATTTCAATTTTTTCGGAATTAGGAAAAATGCATTCTTGAACATAAATCATAATATACAAGCCTTAAAAATATGTATAAACGGATTTGTTTTACAAATGAAAATCAAATCATCTCAAGAGATACAATATATTTGAACGGAATTGTTTTACAATGTAAATCATTTCGCATTTTCATAACATTCAACATGTAAAGAAAATGTTCATTACAATTGTAAATTAATTAATATCAATAAAGCATCTTACACGCGTTCCACCGACGCCATATTTGTGGAATATGGCGTCCCATCCACCTCACACTGTACATATTATATATATATATATATATATATATATATATATATATATATATATATATATATATATATATATATATATATATATATATATATATATATAACCTTTAAGTTTTGTAACCTTTAAATACACAATAAAGCAAAAAAAAAAAAAAAAGGGGGAAGGGGGTGGTAGGAGAAAAGCACACAGAAACTGTATTGGAGGGGACCTACATTCCCTCCAATGCGTTATGTGTGGTTTTCTCCGAGGCTATGGGTCCCCCTTCTTCCAGCCAGAGGTGGTACTCCCTTCCCTTTTTATATAAAATATATATATATATATATATATATATATATATATATATATATATATATATATATATATATATATATATATATATATATATATATAGACCAATAGGTCTATATGGACCAATAGGCTTTCTACAATCACTTCTATTCAATACCCATTGTTTCATGTTCTGGCTTGTGTTGATGAGATTAATACCTTATTAAATACCACCTCACCCCATCCACCTCACTCAAATGTAGATATAAACAAAATCGGAGATGTTCTATTCTATTCAGTAAGTTCTATTCAGTTGTGTATGTGTTAACTAAAGTCTTTGAAAATGTAATAAGTTTTACGAAACGCGCTCAAGTGTCGCGTCAGACTAGAAATAAAAATGAATTTTGGAGAATTGATTTTTGAATTACCTCCAACAGTGAAAAGAAATGTACGAAAGATTGAGAAAATTCGTGTTAGAATTATTAATCTTACTTTTTCGGTCATATTTAATAATATATGTCTACAGGAAAGACTGCTACCAAAATATACTAATATTTATACTAATACAAAATTATACTAATATATATATATATATATATATATGTGTGTGTGTGTGTGTGTGTGTGTGTGTGTGTGTGTGTGTGTGTGTGTGTGTGTGTGTGTGTGTGCGGAAAATCACACGTGAAAAATAGAGAATGCTAAACGCGTTTTCGGCTTAATTCGCCTTCATCAGAGCAAAGTAGAAAAAAACGAAAACGCGTTTAGCATTCTCTATTTTTCACGTGTGGTTTTCCGCATACTAAGATCAGTGTTTTTGTGATCGTTGTTGCATATACGTATATGTATATATGTGTGTGTGGAAGCTGGTCAGAATTGCATTTCACATTTGTAAACGCAAATTAATGACACTATGTAAAAAGACACCTCGAACACTGTTTATGTAGGACAGACGTAAATCTGTGCATTTATGTATTTATGTTTTGTGGGTTATAATATTTTAAAAGCACTACAAATACCTTCTGTGGTGGATTGTTCAATACATCACTGAACTATGTTTAACAGATCTCTCACCCTGTCTATGAAGGATAGAAGAAAATGTATATATGCTGGTTAGCAGTGTAAATGTCTGGCCACATCTGTGGTAGAACATAATAATAATAATAATAATAATAATAATAATAATAATAATAATAATAATAATAATAATAATAATAATAAACTTGCCGGATTGACTGGAATATGGCGTCACATCCACCCCACACTGTGGGGGGGGGGGGGAGGTAGGTGGTGTAGCTTGGTGTACTTGTGTAATGTGTGCGTTGGCCAGTGAGCGTTGAGCATGTGTTGATCTTAGCACTTTCTCTCTCTTGCTTACAGGTAAGACCCCTAAATAGTTTGTATATCAGCAGGTTTATTACTAGCAGTAAATTATTCACATTTGCAACAGAGCGGAGAATACATTATATCGTGTATGTGTGTCGATGAAAGCACCGTTGTGTTTTCTTCTCTTTCATAATAATCAAGTTTAGACTGACAATGAAGGCGCGCTATAATTACCAGTTTTGTGTAGAGCACAAGTGTGTTGGGTGAGTGGGGGGGGGAGGGATATTTAGCGATGGGGCTATTCACCACCTCTGTCATCACCTACCGTCCACCTACAACCACTCACCTAGGTCGTGCAAGTGAGACCTGTAAACGTGCAAGTGTTCTTCATTTAGTGCCAAACTTGTGACACTCACTCGGCGGAACTTGCCTGAGAACGTGTAGCGGCGCCAACTGGCTGATTGATGATTTGAAGATTAAGATCGATTGATAAAGATTAAATTACCCAAAAGGTGGCACGGGCATGAATAGCCCGTAAGTGATGGCCCTTTTGAGCCGTTGCCCGTATCAAGAGCTGATACTGGAGATCTGTGGAGGTGCGACTGCGCCCTGCGTGATGGGAGATGTCTCCCATTGGTGAAGATTAACATTGATTGATAAAGATTAAGCCGCCCAAGAGGTGACACGGGCATGAATATCCCGTAAAGATTAAACCACACATGGGCATGAATAAGTGATAAGTGGTAGTCAGGCGTAGACTCGACGCTCACCTGAAAGCCCATCATAAAGGTGCCAATGAGGTGGTTCTGGTCGCCGGTCAGGTGCAGCATGAGGAGCTTATGGTCGTTGGGCGCGACGACTCGCTCCAGCGTCCAGCAGGAGTCGCCACGCCGGAACACACACACGTCCTGGTCGTGTTGGTGCGTGCAGCAGTACAGCCAACGACGACACTTGGTCCAGGTCATCACGCTGGAGGAGGAGGAGGTCAACGACAAGAAGAGTGCAGGTTTAGCCCCGAGGACACTGTTCCTCCCCCAAGCCCACCACCTCTAATATCCCGTGTCTGGAGCAGCTGCACGCCTGCTTATGGCAACCTCTCACACATAAACGTTCAGGATCTACACTTATTCTCGATGGATTTTACGAAATATGAACGGTTATGCCCTAAAATGGTCTGTGTGTTGTGTTATTACTTTTAGAGAGAGCCAAGATAGAAGACAATAACCAAACTTAACTTTTTTACGCTTTGTATAGTACATAAATGTACTAAACATAACTGTAGGTTCTATCATAATAGCTGTAGCTTCTATCATAATAGCTGTAAGTTCTGTCATAATAGCTGAAGGTTCTATCATAATACCTGAAGGTTCTATCATAATACCTGAAAGTTCTATCATAATACCTGAAAGTTCTATCATAATACATGAAGGTTCTATCATAATACATGAAGGTTCTATCATAATACATGAAGGTTCTATCATAATACCTGAAGGTTCTATCATAATACCTGAAGGTTCTATCATAATACCTGAAGGTTCTATCATAATACCTGAAGGTTCTATCATAATACATGAAGGTTCTATCATAATACCTGAAGGTTCTATCATAATACATGAAGGTTCTATCATAATACCTGAAGGTTCTATCATAATACCTGAAGGTTCTATCATAATACATGAAGGTTCTATCATAATACATGAAGGTTCTATCATAATACATGAAGGTTCTATCATAATACATGAAGGTTCTATCATAATACATGAAGTTTCTATCATAATACATGAAGGTTCTATCATAATACCTGAAGGTTCTATCATAATACCTGAAGGTTCTATCATAATACATGAAGGTTCTATCATAATACATGAAGGTTCTATCATAATACATGAAGGTTCTATCATAATACATGAAGGCTCTATCATAATACATGAAGGTTCTATCATAATACCTGAAGGTTCTATCATAATACCTGAAGGTTCTATCATAATACCTGAAGGTTCTATCATAATACCTGAAGGTTCTATCATAATACATGAAGGTTCTATCATAATACATGAAGGTTCTATCATAATACATGAAGGTTCTATCATAATACATGAAGGTTCTATCATAATACATGAAGGTTCTATCATAATACCTGAAGGTTCTATCATAATACATGAAGGTTCTATCATAATACCTGAAGGTTCTATCATAATACCTGAAAGTTCTATCATAATACCTGAAGGTTTTATCATAATACCTGAAGGTTCTATCATAATAGCAGTAAGTTCTATCATAATAGCTGAAGGTTCTATCATAAAAGTTGTAGCTTCTATCATAATATCTGAAGGTTTTATAATAGCTGAAGGTTCTATCATAATAGTTGTAAGATCTGTCATAATAGCTATAGGCTCTATCATAACAGCTGTAGCTTTTATAATATTTTGGGGGAGGATAATGGGGGATAATGACGCCTTCTCACTTCACCTGTGGAACTCTAGGTTTGGGAAGGTGGTGCCGCCATCAACCGTGTGTATGAGGAGGTCCTTGTTATCGAAGTCACCCGACCAGCAGATGAGGCTATAGTCATTTGTGCTCTTGAAGTCCATGAAGAGGATGGGCTTGTCCACAGGGGACGACACTCGTTCCCGTTCCTCCCCGCGAAGCGTGTACAGCACCCACGACCTGCAGGAGGCACAGTGTAAGACGTCCACCATCTGTGCAAGACACACGCGCACCTGCAGACTACACCAGCGACCTAGCACAGGACGGTCATACCGAGTCCTGCAGCCACCACCTACAGGAGACATGTACACTGTGATCTTCACCCACTACCTACAGGAGACACACACACACTGTGATCTTCATCCACCACCTACAGGAGACACACACACTGTGATCTTCATCCACTACCTACAGGAGACACGTGCACTGTGATCTTCGTCCACTACCTACAGGAGACACGTGCACTGTGATCTTCATCCACCACCTACAGGAGAGACGTGCACTGTGATCTTCATCCACTACCTACAGGAGACACGTGCACTGTGATCTTCATCCACCACCTACAGGAGACACGTGCACTGTGATCTTCATCCACCACCTACAGGAGACACGTGCACTGTGATCTTCATCCACCACCTACAGGAGAGACACACACTGTGATCTTCATCCACCACCTACAGGAGACACGTGCACTGTGATCTTCATCCACCACCTACAGGAGAGACACACTGTGATCTTCATCCACTATCTACAGGAGAGACGTGCACTGTGATCTTCATCCACCACCTACAGGAGACACGTGCACTGTGATCTTCATCCACCACCTACAGGAGAGACACACTGTGATCTTCATCCACCACCTACAGGAGACACGTGCACTGTGAAGTTCATCATCCACCTACAGGAGAGACACACACTGTGATCTTCATCCACTATCTACAGGAGAGACGTGCACTGTGATCTTCATCCACCACCTACAGGAGAGACACACACTGTGATCTCATCCACCACCTACAGGAGACATGTGCACTGTGATCTTCATCCACCACCTACAGGAGAGACGTGCACTGTGATCTTCATCCACCACCTACAGGAGACACGTGCACTGTGATCTTCATCCACCACCTACAGGAGACACGTGCACTGTGATCTTCATCCACCACCTACAGGAGAGACGTACACTGTGATCTTCATCCACCACCTACAGGAGACACGTGCACTGTGATCTTCATCCACCACCTACAGGAGACACGTGCACTGTGATCTTCATCCACCACCTACAGGAGAGACGTGCACTGTGATCTTCATCCACCACCTACAGTAGACACGTACAATGATCTTCATCCACCAGCCGTGGAAGACGTGCATACAACACGCACATCTATGACCTGCGAAGCCCAAGAGCTGAAGATGCAGCTGCGCCAGTACAGCGAGCGAAGTACACACCTCTCGCCGTGGATGAGGGCGCAGGAGTCGGAGAGCAGAGTCCCGATCACCTTCTCCCCAGGAATGGGATTCTCCAGCAGGAAGAACTCGCTTGTCAGCATGTTCAACAGCACTGTCTGTAGGAGGGAGAGAGAATGAGGGCTGGCAGGCAAGGAGAGAGAAGGAGGGCTGGCAGCCAGGGAGAGAGAATGAGGGCTGGCAGGCAAGGAGAGAGAAGGAGGGCTGGCAGGCAGGGAGAGAGAATGAGGGCTGGCAGGCAGGGAGAGAGAATGAGGGCTGGCAGCCAGGGAGAGAGAATGAGGGCTGGCAGCCAGGGAGAGAGAATGAGGGCTGGCAGCCAGGGAGAGAGAATGAGGGCTGGCAGCCAGGGAGAGAGAATGAGGGCTGGCAGCCAGGGGGAGAGAATGAGGGCTGGCAGCCAGGGAGAGAATGTGGGCTGGCAGCCAGGGAGAGATAATGAGGGCTGGCAGCCAGGGAGAGAGAATGAGGGCTGGCAACCAGGGAGAGAGAATGAGGGCTGGCAGCCAGGGAGAGAGAATGAGGGCTGGCAGCCAGGGAGAGAGAATGAGGGCTGGCAGCCAGGGAGAGAGAATGAATGAAAGGGAACTGCTCGCAGTTCTTTTTCATTGCCCACGAGACTGCCTTGGGCTTTGTGAGAGAGGGGAGATAGAGGGTAGTAAACCACTAATATTGATTGATACTATGATGTAACTTTAGCTTCATCAAGCTAAGATACCCAGTGGGCAAGCGGAAGAGGGTACAGTTGAAGAACAGCTAGAGAACATTCGCTGTAGTAGAACAACTGCTAGACCCTCATGCTTCCCTGTTTGACTGATCAATGGTGCAGGAGGCAGTTTCTTGCTCCTTTTTTTGTCTTCTTCTTCGTCTTGAATTCTTCATTCTTGATGTTTCAAGCTTGCCGAACAGTATTTTTGCAGCTTCGTCTTCAATATTACTTCTCGTAATGGCACTGTTTTTGCTGTCAATGTTGCTAATTTTGGTTCTTGGTGCACCATTGTAGAAGCAGTAAACTTGAAGCTCTGGTGCAATTGTGACGTCCATTGTCATTGGTTCATACATTTCTAAGTGAGGTAGTCAACCAGCTTCTTCCAGTTGCTGAGTCTGAAGCCAAGCTCTTCAAGAAAAACTTTGTACTTGCGATTAGTTTACACATTAATCCACTTTTATATTATTTTTAAGCTGCATCTCTTACGAACCCATCCCTGCCCTTGTGGGGCTGTGCACAACAGAAAGTTGATTTTACATATTCATACATTAAAATATTGACTGTAACCAATATATATATATATATAACTGAAAACTCACACCCCAGAAGTGACTCGAACCCATACTCCCACAACTGGTATGTACAGGGACGCCTTAATCCGCTTGACCATCACGACCGGACATAAGGAAGTGATAGCCGAGGCTATATGAACCACTTCCCCGCCGGCACTCGGATGGTAATCTTGGGCATAGCATTTTATCAAATCACCTCATTCTTTGGGGCACACGTGAGGAACACAAATGCAAACAAGCCTGAATGGTCCCCAGGACTATATACAACTGAAAACTCACACCCCAGAAGTGACTCGAACCCATACTCCCACAACTGGTATGTACAGGGACGCCTTAATCCGCTTGACCATCACGACCGGACATAAGGAAGTGATAGCCGAGGCTATATGAACCACTTCCCCGCCGGCACTCGGATGGTAATCTTGGGCATAGCATTTTATCAAATCACCTCATTCTTTGGGGCACACGTGAGGAACACAAATGCAAACAAGCCTGAATGGTCCCCAGGACTATATACAACTGAAAACTCACACCCCAGAAGTGACTCGAACCCATACTCCCACAACTGGTATGTACAGGGACGCCTTAATCCGCTTGACCATCACGACCGGACATAAGGAAGTGATAGCCGAGGCTATATGAACCACTTCCCCGCCGGCACTCGGATGGTAATCTTGGGCATAGCATTTTATCAAATCACCTCATTCTTTGGGGCACACGTGAGGAACACAAATGCAAACAAGCCTGAATGGTCCCCAGGACTATATACAACTGAAAACTCACACCCCAGAAGTGACTCGAACCCATACTCCCACAACTGGTATGTACAGGGACGCCTTAATCCGCTTGACCATCACGACCGGACATAAGGAAGTGATAGCCGAGGCTATATGAACCACTTCCCCGCCGGCACTCGGATGGTAATCTTGGGCATAGCATTTTATCAAATCACCTCATTCTTTGGGGCACACGTGAGGAACACAAATGCAAACAAGCCTGAATGGTCCCCAGGACTATATACAACTGAAAACTCACACCCCAGAAGTGACTCGAACCCATACTCCCACAACTGGTATGTACAGGGACGCCTTAATCCGCTTGACCATCACGACCGGACATAAGGAAGTGATAGCCGAGGCTATATGAACCACTTCCCCGCCGGCACTCGGATGGTAATCTTGGGCATAGCATTTTATCAAATCACCTCATTCTTTGGGGCACACGTGAGGAACACAAATGCAAACAAGCCTGAATGGTCCCCAGGACTATATACAACTGAAAACTCACACCCCAGAAGTGACTCGAACCCATACTCCCACAACTGGTATGTACAGGGACGCCTTAATCCGCTTGACCATCACGACCGGACATAAGGAAGTGATAGCCGAGGCTATATGAACCACTTCCCCGCCGGCACTCGGATGGTAATCTTGGGCATAGCATTTTATCAAATCACCTCATTCTTTGGGGCACACGTGAGGAACACAAATGCAAACAAGCCTGAATGGTCCCCAGGACTATATACAACTGAAAACTCACACCCCAGAAGTGACTCGAACCCATACTCCCACAACTGGTATGTACAGGGACGCCTTAATCCGCTTGACCATCACGACCGGACATAAGGAAGTGATAGCCGAGGCTATATGAACCACTTCCCCGCCGGCACTCGGATGGTAATCTTGGGCATAGCATTTTATCAAATCACCTCATTCTTTGGGGCACACGTGAGGAACACAAATGCAAACAAGCCTGAATGGTCCCCAGGACTATATACAACTGAAAACTCACACCCCAGAAGTGACTCGAACCCATACTCCCACAACTGGTATGTACAGGGACGCCTTAATCCGCTTGACCATCACGACCGGACGTGATGGTCACACGTGTTCCTCACGTGTGCCCCAAAGAATGAGGTGATTTGATAAAATGCTATGCCCAAGATTACCATCCGAGTGCCGGCGGGGAAGTGGTTCATATAGCCTCGGCTATCACTTCCTTATGTCCGGTCATGATGGTCAAGCGGATTAAGGCGTCCCTGTACATACCAGTTGTGGGAGTATGGGTTCGAGTCACTTCTGGGGTGTGAGTTTTCAGTTGTATATAGTCCTGGGGACCATTCAGGCTTGTTTGCATTTGTGTTCCTCACGTGTGCCCCAAAGAATGAGGTGATTTGATAAAATGCTATGCCCAAGATTACCATCCGAGTGCCGGCGGGGAAGTGGTTCATATAGCCTCGGCTATCACTTCCTTATGTCCGGTCGTGATGGTCAAGCGGATTAAGGCGTCCCTGTACATACCAGTTGTGGGAGTATGGGTTCGAGTCACTTCTGGGGTGTGAGTTTTCAGTTGTATATAGTCCTGGGGACCATTCAGGCTTGTTTGCATTTGTGTTCCTCACGTGTGCCCCAAAGAATGAGGTGATTTGATAAAATGCTATGCCCAAGATTACCATCCGAGTGCCGGCGGGGAAGTGGTTCATATAGCCTCGGCTATCACTTCCTTATGTCCGGTCGTGATGGTCAAGCGGATTAAGGCGTCCCTGTACATACCAGTTGTGGGAGTATGGGTTCGAGTCACTTCTGGGGTGTGAGTTTTCAGTTGTATATAGTCCTGGGGACCATTCAGGCTTGTTTGCATTTGTGTTCCTCACGTGTGCCCCAAAGAATGAGGTGATTTGATAAAATGCTATGCCCAAGATTACCATCCGAGTGCCGGCGGGGAAGTGGTTCATATAGCCTCGGCTATCACTTCCTTATGTCCGGTCGTGATGGTCAAGCGGATTAAGGCGTCCCTGTACATACCAGTTGTGGGAGTATGGGTTCGAGTCACTTCTGGGGTGTGAGTTTTCAGTTGTATATAGTCCTGGGGACCATTCAGGCTTGTTTGCATTTGTGTTCCTCACGTGTGCCCCAAAGAATGAGGTGATTTGATAAAATGCTATGCCCAAGATTACCATCCGAGTGCCGGCGGGGAAGTGGTTCATATAGCCTCGGCTATCACTTCCTTATGTCCGGTCGTGATGGTCAAGCGGATTAAGGCGTCCCTGTACATACCAGTTGTGGGAGTATGGGTTCGAGTCACTTCTGGGGTGTGAGTTTTCAGTTGTATATAGTCCTGGGGACCATTCAGGCTTGTTTGCATTTGTGTTCCTCACGTGTGCCCCAAAGAATGAGGTGATTTGATAAAATGCTATGCCCAAGATTACCATCCGAGTGCCGGCGGGGAAGTGGTTCATATAGCCTCGGCTATCACTTCCTTATGTCCGGTCGTGATGGTCAAGCGGATTAAGGCGTCCCTGTACATACCAGTTGTGGGAGTATGGGTTCGAGTCACTTCTGGGGTGTGAGTTTTCAGTTGTATATAGTCCTGGGGACCATTCAGGCTTGTTTGCATTTGTGTTCCTCACGTGTGCCCCAAAGAATGAGGTGATTTGATAAAATGCTATGCCCAAGATTACCATCCGAGTGCCGGCGGGGAAGTGGTTCATATAGCCTCGGCTATCACTTCCTTATGTCCGGTCGTGATGGTCAAGCGGATTAAGGCGTCCCTGTACATACCAGTTGTGGGAGTATGGGTTCGAGTCACTTCTGGGGTGTGAGTTTTCAGTTGTATATAGTCCTGGGGACCATTCAGGCTTGTTTGCATATATATATATATATATATATATATATATATATATATATATATATATAACTGAAAACTCACACCCCAGGTTTATAGCAAAGAATGAGGTGATTTGATAAAATGCTATGCCCAAGATTACCATCCGAGTGCCGGCGGGGAAGTGGTTCATATAGCCTCGGCTATCACTTCCTTATGTCCGGTCGTGATGGTCAAGCGGATTAAGGCGTCCCTGTACATACCAGTTGTGGGAGTATGGGTTCGAGTCACTTCTGGGGTGTGAGTTTTCAGTTGTATATAGTCCTGGGGACCATTCAGGCTTGTTTGCATTTGTGTTCCTCACGTGTGCCCCAAAGAATGAGGTGATTTGATAAAATGCTATGCCCAAGATTACCATCCGAGTGCCGGCGGGGAAGTGGTTCATATAGCCTCGGCTATCACTTCCTTATGTCCGGTCGTGATGGTCAAGCGGATTAAGGCGTCCCTGTACATACCAGTTGTGGGAGTATGGGTTCGAGTCACTTCTGGGGTGTGAGTTTTCAGTTGTATATAGTCCTGGGGACCATTCAGGCTTGTTTGCATTTGTGTTCCTCACGTGTGCCCCAAAGAATGAGGTGATTTGATAAAATGCTATGCCCAAGATTACCATCCGAGTGCCGGCGGGGAAGTGGTTCATATAGCCTCGGCTATCACTTCCTTATGTCCGGTCGTGATGGTCAAGCGGATTAAGGCGTCCCTGTACATACCAGTTGTGGGAGTATGGGTTCGAGTCACTTCTGGGGTGTGAGTTTTCAGTTGTATATAGTCCTGGGGACCATTCAGGCTTGTTTGCATTTGTGTTCCTCACGTGTGCCCCAAAGAATGAGGTGATTTGATAAAATGCTATGCCCAAGATTACCATCCGAGTGCCGGCGGGGACGTGGTTCATATAGCCTCGGCTATCACTTCCTTATGTCCGGTCGTGATGGTCAAGCGGATTAAGGCGTCCCTGTACATACCAGTTGTGGGAGTATGGGTTCGAGTCACTTCTGGGGTGTGAGTTTTCAGTTGTATATAGTCCTGGGGACCATTCAGGCTTGTTTGCATATATATATATATATATATATATATATATATATATATATATATATATATATATATATATATATATATAGTGTGTGTGTGCGCTACAGCCTACAGTTTAGACCTATTGTCTTGTGTATGACCCTCTGTCCTGCGTGACAGTGAATACCAGCATTATCCTCACTTTAATACGACTTGATTGAAATCCTCAGATTAGACAAAATTGTAATTAAATTTTGTCAACAAAGATGTTAAAAATAATAATGTACTTGCGACAGATGTTAACTTGCTCACTCACTCCATTGTATGTGCATACATTGGACTCATGACAAGTCTCGAGCATGAATTCTTCGTTTATATAGGTTTTAAAATATAATTTTCCGTACATGTTCATATCCACGTTTCGGAACATTATAGAGAATGCTTCTTTGATTTGGTTGTATTTATTGTAGTGTCTAGGGTAGAAGAGCTGGGTTCTTCAGTAGAGTTGTTGGTTTCTAGATTTGTAGAAACATGATATATGGGGCAAGAGATTTATTTATTAACAGTAGCAACCGAGTTCCCACATCCACATTTATGTGGACTGCCAGCAGTAATTACAGGGTTCACTAGAAAGTTATAGAGGCAAAGCTGAGTTTTCTGTACTCTCACAGTAGGAAAGGAATGTTTAAAAAATGTATTATTATCATTATTATTATTATTATTATTATTATTATTATCAATTATCCTAGTGTCGAACTTTCGTATGTAAATGGCATTACAACCTTGATTAGAAAGAGTGAAAGTGCTCTGCCATTTATTACTCATCAATTAACAACAATACAAGACACAATCGACATTATTCCACGACTCCTCCGACACTAGAGTACCTGAGTGCCTACACCAACACGCCTGTACCTCACGCCCTCACCTGGCTGTTGTTGGTGTGTGCGATGGAGTACTTGTTGTCCGGGGAGAGTACCAAGTCCTGCATGATGCCCTCGATGCCTGGCACCACCTCCCTGGTCAGGTCAGAGGTCGACAGGTCCCAGGTGATGAACTTATTGGAGACACTCACGATGTAGCGCAGGTCGTTAGTCAACCGGAACCCGAACACAGCAAACTGGTGACCCTCCAGCGAGTACTGTAGACGAACACGAGATACAGGAAAGTGTTACACAGGTCAACTGAGTATCAATAAGAAGATAACAGCCTCCAGGAAGGTGGGGCTCACCACGGATACAGTAGTCCTGGTGGAGCTCAACACAGATACAGTAGTCCTGGTGGAGCTCAACACGGATACAGTAATCTAGGTGGGGCTCATTCATTTTAGTGATAAGAAAACTAAAATAAGGAAAGGCAGTGGAGGTTGGGCAGATGCTGTATTTCTGAACTGACAAAAAGCCCTTGATACAGTACCTCACATGAGATTACTATACAAACTCGAGAGACAGGCAGGAGTCAGCGGAAAAGTACCAACATGGGTAAAGAATGACCTATTAGACAGGAGTCGGAGAGAGTGACAGTGAGGGGCGAGGGGTCGGACTGGCATAGGGTAACAGGCGGGGTGCCTCAAGAGTCGGTGCTGGGACCCATACTATTCCTCATTTATGTATAGGAACTGTCTATAGGCGTTGAGTCATATGTGGATGTTTGCTGATGGTCCAAAACTAATGAGAAGAGTTATGACAAATGAAGAATGCAATGTCTTTCAAGATGACTTAAACAAGCTTCAGAGATGGTCCCAGAAATGGCTGCTGGAGTTCAATATTAGCACGTGTAACGTGACAGAAATGGGAACAGGTGCCAAGAAACGAAAGGGCTAGTACACAATGAAGGGGAAACTACCTGCCTACAACAACTAGAGGGAAAGACCTGGCAGTAGACATAACACCAAACCTAACTCCAGTAGAAAAAGAGGAAATGTTCAATGAATACCAAAAGAACACAAGGAGCATTAATGGAAGTTTGAGATTCAGATGAGTCATATAGATGTTAACAAGCTTTCTTTTAGCGTAAGAGTAGTGGGAAAATGGAATGAGCTAAACGAGCAGGTTGTAGAGGCTAACTCCATTCATAACTTTAACAGTAGATATGATAGGGAAACAGGTCAGGAGTCATTGCGGTAAACTACCTGCGGAAACAACAGGGGGCCTCGTAGCCTGGTGGATAGCGCGCAGGACTCGTAATTCTGTGGCGCGGGTTCGATTCCCGCACGAGGCAGAAACAAATGGGCAAAGTTTCTTTCACCCTAAGTGCCCCTGTTACCTAGCAGTAAATAGGTACCTGGGAGTTAGTCAGCTGTCACGGGCTGCTTCCTGGGGTGTGTGTGTGTGTGGTGTGGGGAAAAAAAAAAAAAAAAAAGTAGTTAGTAAACAGTTGATTGACAGTTGAGAGGCGGGCCGAAAGAGCAAAGCTCAACCCCCGCAAAACACAACTAGTAAACACACACACACACAGCCACTCTCCATGGTGTACAACAAATCACTGGTAACAGGTGAACTGCCAAAAATTTGGAAGATGGCCAATGTAGTTCCAATATACAAGAAGGGTGATAGGCAGGAGGCACTGAACTACAGGCCAGTGTCCCTAACTTGCATTCCATGCAAGATGACAGGTTGTGATGATGATGATTGTGCGAAAAAAGTAAAGAACTTTGTAACAATATCAGCATGGGTTCAGAGATGGAACATCATGCCTAACAGGTTTAATTAAGTTCTATGACTATGCAACAAAAATTAGGCAAGAGAGAGAGGGCTGGGCAGACTGCATATTTCTAGACTGCCTGAAAGCCTTTTACACAGTACCACATAACAGACTAGTGCACAGACTAGAGATGCAGGCAGTAGAGAAAGGGAATGTACTCCACTGGATAAGGGAGCACCTAAGCAACAGGACACAGCGAGTCACTGAGGGGTGAAGTCTCGGAGTGGCGGGGAGTCACCAGTGGAGTCCCACAGGGATATGTCCTTGGACATATACTGTTTCCGATATACGTAAATGATCTCCCAGAAGGGATTGACTCGTTCCTCTCAATGTTTACTGATGATGCAAAAATTATGAGGAGGATCAAGACAGAGGAACATAGTATGACGCTACAAGATGACCTAGACAAACTGAAGAAATGGTCTAACAAATGGCTACTAAAGGAGGAAACTAGGAGGAGGAAATAGGAGGCCAGTCACTGGATACCGAATAGGAGATGAAGTCCTCCACGAAACGGACAGAGAGAAAGATCTAGGAGTTGATATCACGCCAAACCTATCTCCTGAAGCCCACATCAAAAGAATAACATCAGCGGCCTATGCGAGCCTGGCTAACATCAGAACTGCTTTCAGAAACCTGTGTCAGCATGGAGCCCGTAACTAATCAAGCACAAGACGAAGCTGGAAAAAGTTCAGAGGTATGCCACTAGGCATACCTCTGAACTAAGAGGCATGAGTTATGAGGACAGGCTGTGTGAACTGCACCTCACGTCGCTGGAAGACAGAAGAGCTCGGAGAGACATGATCACCACATACAAAATTCTCAGGGGAATTGACAGAGTAGACAAGGATGGATTATTTAACACGGGTGGTACACGCACACGGGGACACAGGTGGAAGCTGATTACCCAAATGAGCCACAGAGACATTAGAAAGAACTTTTTCAGTGTCAGAGTAGTTAGTAAATGGAATGCACTAGGAAGTGATGTGGTGGAGGCTGACTCTATACACAGTTTCAAATCTAGATATGATCGAGCCCAGTAGGCTCAGTACACCAGTTGATTGACGGTTGAGAGGCGGGACCAAAGAGCCTAAGCTAAACCCCCGCAAGCACAACTAGGTGAGTACAACTGAGTACACACACACACACACACACACACACACACACACACACACACACACACACACACACACACACACACACATTGGAATGCGTGTGCGTGTTCCATTGCCTAAATGGGCCTAGTGGCATTCCATTCTTAAATGGAATGCATTAAGAAGTGATGTGGTGGAGGCTGACTCCATACACAGTTTCAAGTGTAGATATGATAGAGCCCAATAGGCTCAGGAACCTGTACACCTGTTGATTGACGGTTGAGAGCCGGGACCAGAGAGCCAGAGCTCAACCCCCGCCGGCACAATTAGGTGAGTACACAGGGCAAGAGCTACGAGGAGAGGTTAGAGGCATTAAATATGCCAAAACCAGAAGACAAGAAAAAGAGGTGATGTGATCACTACGTACAAAATAGTAACATGAATTGATAAAATCGATAGGGACGATTTCCTGAGACCTGGAACTTTAAGAACAAGAGGTCATAGATTTAAACTAACTAAACAAAGATGCCGAAGAAATATAAGAAAATTAACTTTCGCAAACAGAGTGGTAGACGGTTGGAACAAGTTAGGTGAGAAGGTGGTGGAGGCCAAGACCGTCAGTAGTTTCAAAGCGTTATATGACAAAGAGTGCTGGGAAGACGGGACACCACGAGCGTAGCTCTCATCCTGTAACTACACTTAGGTAATTACACACACACACACACACACACAGTCACCTTGAGGGGTCCCCCAGGAGTGTGGCTACAGTGGTAGGAAGGCAGCAGGCCACAGTGTTCGATGCCCTCTGCGTCACACTGCTCCAGGATGCTCTTGACGTGTGGGTTGGCTTCCATCTCCGGCAGGAGACGACCGACGAGCTGCGGTGCCAGCATGTCTGGGTACTGCGACAGGATGGCACCCCCCAGCCTCAAGGCGTCGGCCACCAACATCAGTTCCCTATAGCAGTGGAGGAGTCAGCTTGGCACGAGGGCACAATGTACAAAGTGTGAGCGGGTGGGGTGAAGCAGGGAGCTGAGGGGCATGAGTGAAGGAGGACTTGCTAGAGGCCAGTTAAATCACCTGTTGTGGACGCCTCTTAACACTAAACTAAAGACTCTCTCAAATTAATTTACTGAAGCTTCAGCTGCATTATATATATTTCTATCTACCTAGAGCAAGGCAACTAAAGCATTTAGCAATGGTTTCGTATAACCGGTCAACCACATAAATGTAAATCTATTCAAATTATTCTATATGATGACTTTGGTATTAAATTTGCAGGTTCTATGGATCTAATGGATCTTATATAGGCATCAGTATATGTACAGAATATATTTATAAAAGAAAATATGCATCCATTAAGCAGAATAAATATTTTTTAAGGTAACTACTGAGGAAAGAAAATTCTGATGAAATTTTATATCATCAAGGAATGAGGTGGTGAGAGGTGCCAGAACCAAGGTATCAGGTGGCGTTAGTCTCAGGAACCAAGGTATCTGGTGGTGAGAGATACCAGAACCAAGAAATCAAGTGCTGAGAGGTTCCACGACCAAGGTATCAGGAGGTGTTAGGTTCCGGAACCCAGGAATGAGGTGGTGGGAGGTATCAGCATCAAGGCCCTTCCAAGTATCAGTAGGTGACAGGTACCCGATGCCAAGCAGCAAAGTTTGTGTGCGTTCTCCCGGACCAAGAAACCATTGAGGCCAGCGGTCTTGGTGCACCCGTAGTGTTGCGCGGGAAGTCGAGCGCGTGCGAGAGACCTGTACAACTGAGAGGTCAGAGTGAAGTAGTAATGACCTGGAACCATTGTTACTGCCACTTGTCAGCTTGTGGCAGTAGTGACTCTCAACAACACACCCTGATTGGTCAGATTAAAGCAGGGGTGACGTAACCTTATTGTGATTGGTCAAATATTAAACCCTCCGTCCCACCCCTTTCCCCTCCAGGTGTGATTAGTTAGTTTGGAGCAATGGTGACCCTGCGCGTCGTCTTACTTGGTGAGCGTTAAGCAATAGTGTGACTTATGAGCTGTATACATAAAGAGAAGAGTGCGTTACTGTGACTGCGAGGGGGGTCAACGGTGGTGTCTGCAACACGCTGACCCTCCTGCATGACCTGGCACCTCCTGGGGTGGGTGAAGGTCACTGAGCTTGTGAGGGCAGGCTAAGAGTCAGTGGGGTACTGGGCACACACACTGCATCAAAGTTACAGGGTAAGGGGTGCCAGGGGTAGTAGAGAGATCCGCCCCCAAGTCGAGGGTGTTCAAGCATGGAAGTTAACATGATGTTGAAGGAAATCAGATTTGTTACCGTGAATGAATGAACAAAGGGAATTGAGATAAGGGATAGACAATTTCCCAGAAAACTGAATGAAAGTCTCCCAATACAGGTTATATATATTTACCAAGAGTGACAAGAATGCTGTTGAGAAGGACAAATGAAGTAAGCAGAGTGTTAGAGGTGCATGGTAGCTGGTCAGGCCAGACATACACAGCCATGGACACTCTTTCAAAGGGTAAGAAGGGAAACAGGGAGATGCATGAAGAAGGAACAGAGGGCAGGGAGATGGATGGAGAAGGAACAGAGGGCAGGGAGATGGCTGGGCAAGGAATAGACACATGGAGAAGGATGGAGAAGAAACTAGGGGCAGTTAGAAGGCTGGGAAGGAACAGAGGCAGAAGAAGGAATAGAGGCAGGGAGTTATACACAAGACAGCTTAAGAAGGCAGGTTTAAGAGCTAAGAGGATGAACACCGAGTGCTTCAAATGGACAACTCAATATGTAGGACTCACTTTAAAATACTTGAAATTTCTGGAATTGGAGAACTGGAAGCCCTTAAACAGGATATCAGACCAAAACAAGTGGTCGAGACAGGTGGCCTAGACAGGTGGCCTAGACAGGTGACCTAGACAGGTGGCCAAAACAGATGGAAGAAATAAATTGTCAAAACAGACCTTCAGGAAAGAGTGAGGACAGGTGTGGTGAGAGGTGGCCAAGAACTAATCAAAACAAAGTGGCCAAGATCAGATGAAGAGAACAGATGGTCATATCATTGATCAACGACTCTTAAGAGGCATCTGGTTGGACAGGTGACCAAAAGAGATGGCCAGAAGAGGTGGCAAAAGTGGTAGTAGCAAAGAGGTGGGGTGAACAGGTGTCCAAAAGAGGTAGGCAAGAGAGGTGGCCAATAGAGGTGGCCAGAAGGAGAGGCATTAAGAGTGTGGCCAGAACACAGCAACTGAGGGGAACAAGGGACCAACTGTGTCAACATACAATACCTTTTCCTACGTTTGGTTTCCTCGCTGTAGGAAATTATTATTTAGAAAATTGTCTCTTTGTTATTTAAGTAATAAATTAATTATATATGTTAGTTTTCCTTTATTTAGTGACTGCGTAAAAATGGTATTTATAGATAGCATTTATAAATTTCTAATTTATTTGAACTCTAAATAAAATATTTGTGATTTACTTAAAATATATATTTTTCACCAAAAAATTATATAAAATAAATTACAAAAGTAAACAAAATATTTATACAATAAATGTTTACAATGCAAAAAAATAAAGAACAGGAACAATTGACTTAATTTCAACGGAAAAGTTTCATACTCATTTAAATAAAAAATAAATTTATGTTAAACTATACACACAAACATACACACGCATTATATCATCATATAATGAATCTCCATATCTAGACTCATTATGGGCAACTCATCATAACTTTATTAAAATTAATAAGAAGAATGTATCCTTTTCCCCCCTCCCCCCCCAGCAGAACTACCTACACTTTCCCCCCTCCGCCCCCAGGCAGAGGGGGGAAACCGTCCCACTTGGGGTGGACGGTAGAGCGACGGTCTCGCTTCATGCAGTTCAGCGTTCAATCGCCGACCGTCCAAGTGGTTGGGCACCATTCATTCCCCCCGTCCCATCCCAAATCCTTATCCTGACCCCTTCCCAGTGCTACATAGTCGTAATGGCTTGGCGCTTTCCCTTGCTAACACCTCCTTCTACAAGCATCCAACTCCCACTATAACTACATGGAACAAACTACCGAACAACTGGGAGCCGGTCGGCCGAGCGGACAGCACGCTGGACTTGTGATCCTGTGGTCCTGGGTTCGATCCCGGGCGCCGGCGAGAAACAATGGGCAGAGTTTCTTTCACCCTATGCCCCTGTTACCTAGCAGTAAATAGGTACCTGGGTGTTAGTCAGCTGTCACGGGCTGCTTCCTGGGGGTGGAGGCCTGGTCGAGGACCGGGCCGCGGGGACACTAAAGCCCCGAAGTCATCTCCAAAGATAACCTCAAGATAACTACAACCCATACACTCCCTATACAGACTACCTCGACCCACAAACGCACAAGAAGCTCTCCCAAGATTTACCTGATCTGGTCCCTGTCATCGATATGGGTGGAGGCGTCCTCGAAGTCGGAGAGGACGGCCTGCAGCGGGCAGGAGCTGAGCTTGGCGTGTAGCCACTGGTAGTTGAAGAGCACATGGGTGTAGAGGTCTTCGAACCGTCGCGCGCGGACCAGGTGGAACGGCAGCTCCCCGAACTGTGTGAAAGTTACCACTCTCGTCTCCAGATCTTGATGGTTGAGTAGGTACAGGGTGCTGGCAGTATTGGCTGGTGGTGGTATTGGGTGCTGGTGGTATTGGGTGCAGGTAGTATTGGGGGTTGGTAGTATTGGGTGCTAGTAGTATTGGGTGCTAGTAGTATTGGGTGCTGGTAGTATTGGGTGCTGGTAGCAATGGGTGCAGATAGTATTGGGTACGGGTAGTAATGAGAACATAACCACACAAGCAGGTAATCTGATAAGTGTGTACAACAGCAGTACACAATACAGAGATTTTAACATGAAAATGATATGCCACATCAACTAACGCAAGTGGCGGTAATGAGAGTATAGGGTAGACGCAGGTGAGGTGACCTGTATACTGACCTTCCTGAGGTTGTACCTGGTGATCTTGCCCTCCTTGTTGTAGAAGACCAGAGGCTGGGGCGGGACCTTCCTGTCCGCCAGACCTTCCTTGCTCTTCAGGTTGAACCTGCACCAACACCACGCCCATTATCAATAGTATCAAGGGTTCCAGGGTTACAGGTTTGCTAATGGTCATGCTACTTAATGGCCCGTTATGTTAATGGTGATTGTTAATGCTTGTTACGGGGTGATGCTATTGCTTGTTCATGGTGTAATAGGGATCTGATGCGTGTTAAGGGTTGCACAATGGCGTCACAATAATGTGATGCACATATGAAGCAATCTTGGGGCCGTGGAATGGACTCGAACTCTCGGCCCTGGCCTCTCCAGAACCGCATACATTACCCCTTGAGCCATGGGGGTCTGGTGGAGTCTAGGGACGCCAGTTCGAGCCCATTTCATGGCCTCAAGATTGTCTCACATGTGCATCACAATATTGTGACGCTATTGAGCAACCATTATCAAGCATCAGATCCCCATTAACAAGAATCAACGACACCATTACAACCATTAACTAGCATTAACATCACCCTTAGTAACCATTAACAATTATGCTGGTTATGGTAATAACTATGGTAGTTAATGGTGGATATGGTAATTGTAGTTAACGGGGGTTAAGGTAATAGTTATGTTAGATAAATGGTGGATATGTTAAGAATTATGATAGTGATAGTGGTTATGGTAATAAATCTGGTAGTTATGGTGGTTATGGAAATAATAGTCAAGTAGTAAGGGTAATAACTATTGTAGTTATGGTAATAGTAGCAATAGTTAATGGTGAATATTGTGATAATATTTAATGAAATTTATGGTAAATCTGCTAATTACTGGAAATGATGGTAATTTGCAATAATTAAACGTAATTTATTAATAGTATAAAAACCCACTCTTGTGTATTTGTGAAATTTATGTCAAGAATTTCACAAATACACAAGTATGTGGGTTTTATCCTATGTTATTATGTCTGCGAGAAGACATTGCCACTACGTATAGTACTAGTAGTATAGAAAGGTTTAACAGGAAACTTTAATCTGTGGGTGCTGGCTAGGAAACATGTAAGGAGAAAGACAGAGGAAACAAAAACAAAACCTCTCTCTCTCTCTCTCTCTCTCTCTCTCTCTCTCTCTCTCTCTCTCTCTCTCTCTCTCTCTCTCTCTCTCTCTCTCTCTCTCTCTCTCTCTCTCTCTCCCGGGTAGACTGACCTATGTCTCTGTATCTCCGTGTACTTGAATGGCTTGGGTATCCCTCCGCCCCACATGCCCAGGAAGTAGTCGGCTATCATGGAGTAGAAGTACATTGCCAGGTTCTGGTTGGTGAAGTAACGCTTCCTAGCTGCCTCGTTGAACTGTCTGAGCACCACAAGAACACCGCCGGGTGAGCGTTGGTGTTACAGGTCACGGTGCGAAGACGGCGCGAGAGTAGGATTATTGAGAAAATATTCACCATTCACGAGTGTTTTTGACACATCGTGAAAGCTATACTAAACAATCCCACACTAAGGCTATGTAAGAAGCAGAAGAAACGTCCCCGGTTACAAGCTCGACTGTCTGAATGATTAACATTAAATGTTCATATTTCCAAAAATATAAACAATATATATAACACTACAAGAAGCACAAAAAACATGTGAAGGCTAAAACCACTTTTAGATTACTCGTGGAGACGGGAGGGGGAAGACAAGGAAGTGGACGAGGAGGAGAAGGAGCTGACCTGTGGTACCAGTTGAGGACGGAGACGCCGTCAGCCTCGCAGTCAGAGAGGTAGTTAGGCAGGTCGTTCCTGATCCTGGTCCAGAGGAGGGGCGGGATGCGCCGCACGGGGGGCATGTGGTACTGGTACACGTCGTCCAGGACCTGATGACACGAGCTGTGTACACTTGGTAGCTAACACATGTCATCACAATACTACTTGCTCAACAGTAGTGGTAATCGTAGACATAAAAGTGGCAGTAGAAGTAGTAATAAAAGTAGTAATACAACAATAGATAGTCGTATCAACTGTGGTGCTGTAGTTGTATTAATAACAGTATTAGTAGAAGTAATAACAGATGCAGCATTGGCAGACGTAGTAATACAGTAACAGTAATTACTGTTGCAGACTTACACTGCATCTTAAATGAATTTCAATATGTAATACACTGAAGCCAAGACATTTTGTTAACACTAAAAATAATGCTAAACATAATATACCACGGGATAATAGAAAAGTAATGATTTTACGACTTATACTTTCATCATATATTCACTACCAGAAGCATAATACGGATACAGCTGCAAACAATTCACAGAGATATTAAAGAGAGGATTAAAGGTGGCGAGTGGCGGACAACGCACCTTATCATCCAGGGAGATGAGGTCCTCCAGCTCAGACTCCGACAGACCGTTCTTGCTGGCCGTAATGTAGGCCAGGGCGTGAGACACCAGCAGACGCCCGTGCTGAGGAGGGGGGTAAGATCTCAGTCTTGACAGAGCGACAGTCTTGTCAGAGCTACAGTCTTGTCAGAGCTACAGTCTTGTCAGAGCGACAGTCTTGTAAGAGCTACAGTCTTGTCAGAGCTACAGTCTTGTCAGAGCTACAGTCTTGTCAGAGCGACAGTCTTGTAAGAGCTACAGTCTTGTCAGAGCTACAGTCTTGTCAGAGCTACAGTCTTGTCAGAGCTACAGTCTTGTCAGAGCTACAGTCTTGTCAGAGCTACAGTCTTGTCAGAGCTACAGTCTTGTCAGAGCTACAGTCTTGTAAGAGCTACAGTCTTGTAAGAGCTACAGTCTTGTAAGAGCTACAGTCTTGTAAGAGCTACAGTCTTGTAAGAGCTACAGTCTTGTAAGAGCTACAGTCTTGTAAGAGCTACAGTCTTGTAAGAGCTACAGTCTTGTAAGAACTACAGTCTTGTAAGAACTACAGTCTTGTAAGAACTACAGTCTTGTAAGAACTACACATTGTAAGTTTTGAGTACAGTGCTGAGACGAGAAGTATGCTAAAAATCTATGAGATTAGTAATGTCATTTCTACATAAGTTATGCAAGCTAAGAAGCTGGTCCTAAGTTTTGAAAACTAGTTGGCATAGTTTCTGAACATTTAAAACCAGACATGATAGGGCGGATCTCATTGAAACTTTTAAAATATTGAACAACTTGGAGGATATTGATCCAGACTTTTTCTTCAAAAGGTCAGATGTAACACAAACAAGGAGCAACGGATTCAAGCTCAACAAGCCACAACATCCTACTGAAAACAGGAGATGCTTTTTCACCGGTAAGGTTATAAATCCATGGAACTTCCTACGCGCCGAAGCCGTAAATGCCAAAATCCTGCTACAATTTATGATGCAAATAGATAAAATCATAAGAATAAATGGAGGAGGGGGGGACCTTTAACAAGCTGCCGGCTTCCTGTCCTTGTCGAGGCCACTAGAGATAGTGGCCCTCAGGTAAATTCAGGAACTATAGCTACAGAAATCGGCAGAATGAAGAGGGAATTTATTTATGTATTTTATTTATTTATTTACAAGAAGGTACACTGGGGGTTAACAGAGAACATAGAAATTAAGTTGAATTACATTCTTGTAAAGCCACTAGCACCGATAGCGTTTCGGGCAAACAGCACATAGTCCAAGTCTAAGTGGACTTTGCAAAAAGCACATGGTCCATGTGTGAGTAGGTACTCACAGTTGAGGGAATAACGTGTGCCTTAGTGCACGTGTTTACATTTCTCTTATTTGAGAACTGTCACAAGCAATATATGTATGCAAAATAAGAGGATCCCGGTAATACAGTCGGGTTCGTTCTCGACGCTCAATTGAGAATTCGGGGTTCGAATCCCGGGAGGAACAGAAATGGTTGGGTACATTTCCTTTCACCTAAAGCAGCTGTTCACCTAGCAGTAAATAGGTACTCAGGAGTTAGTCAGCTTGTTGTGGTGTTGCATCCTGGGCCGGGTCAGTAATTCGACCTTGAGAGGGGTGAAACTCTACAAAAGCCGAACATGTATGAATACACTCTGGCTTCCTGTCCCCCAACACAATGAAGTATTATTATTATTATTATATGAATTATTATTATTATAGAAATAGCAAAGGGGAGATACTAGTCTCCCATAAAATGTCCAACATTTTCTATGATATTACTCTGAAGAAAACGAAAACATATTTGGACTAACTCAATACAAAATTCTAAATATGGCCTACACGTTATCTCCGACACTGACCTTAACTTCAACCTTTGAGAAGAGCATCATAATCGAATCCATGACGTTGGAGGCGAGGTAGGTGTCCTGTGGCTTGCTGTAACTTTTCCAGCGGCAGATCTCGGCGAAGACCAGCTTGACAAATATGGGAAGAGAGCAGCGAGAGATGGCGTTGCTCACCACCCGCCACTGGTAGTTGTTGAGGTCCCGCTTGGCCGTGTTCATCCACTTCCTGCCGTACACCAACACATACTCCATCTTAATTATCTGTATCCATATATCTCCTAATTTCGTGTTGACCAGACCACACACTAGAAGGTGAAGGGATGACGACGTTTCGACTTAAAAATGGTCCAGGACGGACCGAAACGTCGTCGTCCCTTCACCTTCTAGTGTGTGGTCTGGTCAACATTCTTCAGCCACGTTATTGTGACTCATCGCCTGCTCTCTTAATTTCACTCCAAAGTGCACAATGAAGCATCGACACACCACTTTGATTGAAGTGGTCAGAAACATAAATTGGGAAACTTAATTCAGGAACAAGAGCTTAGTACACGGGTTTACATTTCTCTTATTTGAGAACTGTCACAAGGAATGTATATATACAGAGGTGTACGGTGTGAACTCTATTTTCGGTGCATATACTCTGAGTTTACTTTTGTCCTGGACTATGTTCAGGGGTAATGTACTGTACGTGTTGGTTTGTTAGTAAGGTATTGTATTTTATTTATTTATTTATATATACAAGAGTTCTTACATTCTTGTAAAGCCACCAGCACGCATAGCGTTTCGGGCAGGTCCTTAATCCTATTTTTTTCCGGAAATACGACCCGCCAAATAGTTTAACAACCAGGTACCCATTTACTGCTGGGTGAACAGAGGCTACAGTTAAGGATTGGCGCCCGGTCAATCCTTCCCACCCAGGACATGAAACCAGGACAAAGCGCCGGGCGAGAGTCTTACCACTGCGCCACGGGGACTGCTAATGCAGTTGTAGGGGGCCTTAGTAACCCTCCAGAGGTTGATAATTTGGTGTTAGGCTCAAGGCCTAAGTCTATAATACACACTATATCGAGACACAATCTGGGGTCCCGGGTTTGATTCCCGGGCAGGACAGAAGGATAGGCATGTTTCCTTTCACCTAACGACTGACCTGTGTTATCAGCTGCTAACATTGCCACTATACAACATTTAAGTTTCCTTTCATCAGTGGGAATATACCTTGTCAATAAGAGCTTTACATACGTCCTTCTCTACACTCGACATCATTACACACCTAAACTATAGTTGATTGACTGACAGACGGGACCAAAGAGCTCAAACTTCGCAAGCACAATTAGGCGAGTACTGATGCTGACCTCAAACATGTTTCAGCAGGCTTTGTGAGAATGTATCACCTAATCATATAATAATAATAATAATAATAATAATAATAATAATAATAATAATAATAATAATAATAATAATAATAATTTATTTACAAGGTGCAATGGGTCTGTGAGATTACATAAGATTGGCATTTTACATTCTTTCAAAGCCACTAACACGCATAGCGTTTCGGGCAGAAACCTTTCCATAATCTTATTGGATTAATTTCAGACATTCCCGAAATGCTTTCCGTACTAGTGGCTTAATTAAACATGCATCTTTATGTAACAAATAAGCAACCACTGTAACATCATCTTCTGTATATTTTGTAAATAGTATACATCAGCAGGGCGACATATTAAGGATGGTAGACCTCTGGCGGAACACCTGAGTTGGGTATCGTGAGTGGCTTATTTGTCTGTTATGAAGTAACTACCATTTGACAAGTTTATTTATTCATTTATTTAGTTATATATATATATACAAGAAGGTACATTGGGATTGTGAGGATACATAGCATAGTAATTACATTCTTGTAAAGCCACTAGTACGCGCAGCGTTTCGGGCAGAAAGTTATTTGAGAGAGAGAGAGAGAGAGAGAGAGAGAGAGAGAGAGAGAGAGAGAGAGAGAGAGAGAGAGAGAGAGAGAGAGAGAGAGAGAGAGAGAGAGAGAGAGAGAGACAGAGAGAGACAGAGAGAGACAGAGAGAGACAGAGAGAGACAGAGAGAGACAGAGAGAGACAGAGACAGACAGAGACAGAGAGCGCGAGCCTGTCTCTGTAGACTAGACTTGGATAATATAGAGATTAGGAGAGTTTAGACCAGCGGACGTTCGCTGGGGATCAAGGTCGTAAGACCCCTAGGCGGTGTTGTGGAATGTAAATACAGTAATTACGTATTGTAAATGCTTGTGAATATACAGATTCCGTAGTGTGTTTTACATTCCCTCTCTGTGTCTCACACAAATACGGTAGCCTCACTTAGACAAACTGATTAATGATATATATACCAGGCATATAAATGATATAATGACATAATAGTACAACACGGTTCCTGCTTGAAAACAAAAACACAAAAGCATGACTTGATCTTGCTTCCTATGTTTATTTCCTCTCAACCCATACTCCACCCCGCCCCGCCCAGACTCTACCTCTTCCTTTCTCCGCCCGTTCCTTCCCTCCCCGCTCACTTGATAATGTCCATGGCCAGGTCCTCCCCCAGCGCCGTCACCTCCAGGAACTGGTTCTCATCGTCGATCATCCTCCTGAGGAGCGTGTAGTCCTTAGAGAGTTCCGGGTCGTTCTCCTCCGACACACACGACACCACGATCTGCGGGACCATCACCACCATCATTTACTACTTCTTATAGGACCAAGGACCATCACCATCAATTACTTCTTATAGGAACATCACCATCACCTACTCCTTGTCATAGGACCATCACCTACTCCTCGTCATAGGACCATCACTATATACTGACCTCATTTTGTGTGCTATCACTCCATGGTCACATTAATCAAATGCCTTTACGACGTCCGTGTATACCACATCTGCATTCTGTTTTTCCTCTAATGCCTCAGTGATTATTGCCATTCATTACTGCATGCATTACTGTAGGTGCAGCTGCCACCCATATGGACGGGTGTGGAGCAGGATTAGTGACGGTGTATCTGATCCCCCCCCCCCTCCCAGTTACAAACTGCCTTGTATAGAGACAGTTGTGGTCCAGTTTGTGAACGTCCGCTGGATAATTGTGGGTGCATGGTAGGCAGATTAAAAGTATATGCAACTAGCTCACCGCAGATGTCAACCGTTTGGCTTAAGAGATGAGTTGGATCTAGCACTTGACCTTTCTGGCACTCGCCTACATAATAAGTAGGGTGTCCATAATACACTAAACTAACTCAACTTCTCACTCGTTGTGTTAGGGCGTCGTGAGGTCACTGTCAGTTTCGTTTGCTAAACTGTGAATCTATAATGTTAACAATGTAACTAGCTCACCAATGCTGTAACTTGCTGAGCTAAACGCACAGTTTGGAGTTCATTTCCCAAGGCTGTAATCTTTCCCAATACCTTTCAGGGAATGGGTATGAGGGGCAATAATAAATGAAATAAACTAAGCTAAACTAGGGGGTCTTTGGTAATAATGTGTGTGACTGAATTTATGAGTCTAGAAAGGGGGCTTAATTTTAATGTACGAAACACTTGCATGGTTTAGGATACTGAATTTACTTTCATGTGCAATTGGTTTCGAACTTTTAAGAGATCTTTGGCGTTTGAACGTGATGCGGAACAGACAAGTGTAGTGCAAATTCAGGATCGTACATTTTTCCTTGGATGTGTGTCAGTGGCTAACACTGCTTCATCGCCTGCTCACACCAGGTGAGTGTGAGCAGGCGAGGAATGAGAGAGACAACGGGCGAGGAAGTAAGAGAGGCACAGCGAACGAGGAAGCAAGAGAGAGTGACACAACAAGCGAGGAAGTAAGAGAGAGTGACACAGCGGGCGAGGAAGTAAGAGACACGCTACGAGCGAGGAAGTAAGAGAGAGAGAGGGAGAGAGAGAGACACACAGCGGGCGAGGAATTATGAGACACACTACGAGCGAGGAAGTAAGAGAGAGAGAGAGAGAGACACACACAGCGGGCAAGGAAGTAAGAGAGAGAGACACATCGGGCGAGGAAGTATGAGAGACACAGCGGGCGAGGAAGTAAGAGAGAGAGACAGCGGGCGAGGAAGTATGAGAGACACAGCGGGCGAGGAAGTAAGAGAGAGAGACAGCGGGCGAGGAAGTATGAGAGACACAGCGGGCGAGGAAGTAAGAGAGAGAGACAGTGAGCGAGGAAGTATGAGAGACACAGCGGGAGAGGCGAGGGTGAACGTACCTTAACATTGGGAGGGAGTCTGGTGGGGATCCAAGACATACGGTTGGCATCAGTGGCGCCTGTCACTTGGTCAACGCTGTCCAGGAAGATGAGCAGCGGCTGAAGCAACGAGAGACATGGTTAGCGAGGGGGAGGACGGGGGAGGAGGGAGAGAGAAGCGGAAAGCGAGGCACGGGTTGGTCATGTAGTAACTCTCGTTACATAGTCAACGCCCTCATGTAACTCCCTAGTACCTTTCCCTCTTGTTAGAGAGGGAGCGAGTAATAGAGACAAGGCACAAGTAGTAGAAGAGGGAGCGAGGGAATTATCAGAGGGAAAGCGCCAAGCCATTACGACTGTATAGCACTTGGAAGGGATCAGGATAAGGATTTCGGATGGGACGAGAGAGGGGGGTAGAAATAGCCTAAGCTACTCTATCCCTTTGAGATGTAATTCTTGCTTATCTCAATAAACATACTTGAACTTGAAATGGGACGAGAGGGGGGGGGGTGAGGAAAAGGAGAAAAGACCCTTCAACGAGAGATAAGTGGCGGGGTTAGTATGAGATCGAAGGAGGTTGATTAACCCTTCTCTATAAGAGATGATTAAGCGGAGCAGGGAGAGTCAGAGAAATGAAAGGATGGAAAGGTAATGGCATAGTGGAAACGTGAGAGGAAAAGTGAAAGAGAAGCAGAGAGAAAGGGAGATATGATGTTGTGAATAACTGTAGGAAACTAAGAAGACGGAGATGGGACCTGAAATGACAACAATGCATCATATCCGGAGAAATTGTTAATCATAATACAACATGAAAATAGAACAATAACCCTTCAAAATCATGTTGAAGCTGTTTAACAAAAAAACATCAGTCCTTGGACCTATACTGTTTCTGATATATGTAAATGATCTCCCAGAGGGTATAGACTCGTTCCTCTCACTGTTTGCTGATGATGGAAAAATTATGAGGAGGATTGAAACAGGATGATAGTAGAAGGTTACAAGATGACCTTGACAGACTTAATGAATGGTCCAACAAATGGCTACAAAAATTCAACCCGAGTAAATGCAAGGTAATGAAACTAGGCAGTGAAAACAGGAGGCCAGACACAGGATACCGAATGGGAGATGAAGTACTTCGTGAAACGGGCAGAAAGATCTAAGAGTTGATATCACACCAAACCTGTCTCCATAAATAGTTACATCTGCGGCATACGCGAGGCTGGCTAACATCAGAACAAAACATCAGAACTTCAGGAACCTGTGTAAGGAATCATTCAGAACCTTGTATACCACATATGTAAGACCAATCCTGGAGTGTGCGGCCCCAGCATGGAACCCGTACCTTGCCAAGCACAAGACGAACCTGGAAAAAGTTCAGAGGTATGCCACTAGGCTAGTCCCAGAACTAAGAGGCATGAGTTACAAGGAAAGGCTGCGCGAGATGCACCTCACGACACTGGAAGACAAGAGTAAGGGGAGACATGATCACGACCTACAAAATTCTCAGAGGAATTGACAGAGTAGATAAGGATAAACTTTTTAACAGGAGTGGTACACGAACAAGGGGACACAGGTGGAAACTGAGTACCCACATGAGCCACAGGGACGTTAGAAAGAACTTTTTCAGTGTCAGAGTAGTTAACAAGTGGAATGCATTAGGCAGTGATGTGGTGGAGGCTGACTCCACCATACACAGTTTCATATGTAGATATGATAGAGCCCAATAGGCTCAGGAATCTGGACAACAGTTGATTGACAGCTGAGAGGCGGGACCAAAGAGACAAAGCTCAACCCCCGCAAGCACAAATAGGTGAGTACAGAGGGGACCTCGCGGCTGAGTGGACAGCGCTCGGGGATAGTAGTCCTAGGTGTAGGTCCTAAGAATGATCACTGTCACGCGCCGCTCACCTTGGCCTTGTGTTACATGAGGTTACAGTTAAACAGCGCGGGATCATGCTACTGATCCTGTAACCCCATGCCGTGGGACTTCACTCCCTCCACTAGAGTGTCACATATCACCCCAGGGAGCTCTCCTAGTCATGCCTCATGACCGGTCACCACTTGACCTTGGACCCAAGGGGGAGAGGAGAAGGCCCAGCTCACACTGCTAAACACAATCCTGCAGTATGTGACTCCCCACCGGGCCTGCCCACCTATGCGTGCAGAGAATTGGCCGGACTTCCGGCAGTAGTCTCACTTCCACCTCTCCCTTCCTGGTCGCCAGCTGGGTAATTCTCTCTGCGTCCCAGCAACGCCGTTAGTTCGAATATAATATATCTACAGCAGCCCAGGATCGTATTATATGCTGCCAGTACTAGAATTCAAATATACCGTCGTGTTGCCATCTCAGGGTCACTCTTTAGAAAATGCCAGTACCAGTGTTCAAATCTAATGTCGTAGTGCCAACACAGGGTCTCACTCTATGCCACGCCAGTAACAGTATAGTATAATCATGTTATTAATCACAAAGCTCAATGAGATGGAGGTTACAGCAAAAGCAGTGATAAAATAATAAAAGTTTACTCAAAGTAAACTACAACACACGAGATACATGTAAGGATTTATGGAAATAATAATCATAATGGTGACAGCAGCACTCCTCGGGTGGCCGCCGGCAGCTCACATCAGCTGATGAGTTAAAGGGATCACTGGCCCCTCCTCACGGGGGCGGCTCCGTCAGCGTCGCTCTTCACTCCTTCCCGGGCCGGCCACACGCTGTCTTCGCCAATCAGTAGAATATATACGTGCTGTCCCGCAGCCTAATCTACTCCTATGACTTATATGCACTAATAAATGCCTAAGCATAATAATAATAGGCCTATCTTGCCTACTAACCAAGGGAAATATGATCTACCTTAACATAACCTGTCCTCAAACGCTTAGGCTCCTGTCGCCGTTTGCCAAGTACTCCGTTCCTCGCGTTGTTCCCAGCGTTCCAGAAGAATTAGGAGTCCATAGGCGTCGTGAAGACCCTCGTCATCTCCGTGCTCATTCCATGAGTGAAGTTAATGGGCGTTGGCTCGTCCAGTCGTCACTGCATGCGTCGTTCCCTCAAGCACTCCTTGACCGAGACCACACTCAAGGCTTAGGATGCATCTTCTCCCTCCTGAGTTCCTAGTGGACGGGATCCAATCACCACAGCTCTGAATGCTTTGGAGTTCCACTGACGGCGAGTCACTCACTCCTCCAGCCGTCGTAACTCTCGACTTCTCCAAGACTATTTGCACACGGTCCTCGGCGTCCTCACACCACTGGATTAGGCTTCCTCGCACTTCCCTGAAGTACTGCAGTCCTTGTTAGTCATTATACATTCGTCAGGCTGTGTATATCCACATAAGGAGGCTCTTAGACCTCGGAACTCGAGAGCTCAATCAGCGCACGTCCGTTCCCAACGAAGCGCCAAGTAGCTCTGAGCGCCTAGAGCGCCAGGCGGCGGGCCAGGTCTCTCGGTGACGTCAGACCCAGGGGCGGGCTCTGATTGGTCAACGAAGTCATGTGACCTCAGCCAGCCAATCACCGACCGGCGGGGCGTCGTACACAAAATGGTGGATTTGCAGGCCAGGCGGCGCCATTTTGTTGTACCCAGGGCGCCACTTTTTCACTTCCCTGCAAATTTACAAATGCAAATTTCTCCCCAAATAAGCAACCATTCTGGAAGCCTCATACATCAAAAGATTCCCTGCACCTCAGAGAACCTGCAGGTAAGCTGATATGACTCTTACAGCTGGCATATGGGAGAAACTGGAGGGGACACCGTCACATCACCACTTACAAAATAATAATGAGAATCGATCAAATTGACAAAAGAGGAATTCCTGAAACCAGCAACTTCTGGAACAAGAGGTCACAGATTCAAGCTAAGGAAACGAAGATGCCGAAAAAATATATTAGAACAAGAGTGGTGGACGGTTGGAAGAAGTGAGAAAGTAGAGGAGGCCAAACCGTTAGTAGTTTCAAAGCCTCATATGACAAAGAGTACTGGGAAGACGGGACTCCACGAGTGTAGTTCTCATCCTGTTTTACACTTAGGTAATTCCACAGGTAATTACACACACACACACACACACACACACACACACACACACACACACACACACACACACACACACACACACACACACACACACACACACACGCTCACCATCTGAGGCGTGGCACAGTTTAGAAGCTCCTTCAGGTGGGCGGTGAGGGGCACCAGGTCATCAGGAATATCCTCAAACGGTAGCATGTAGTTGTAGGAGATCTGTGGGAGGGAGCACCTGGCATTAGTCTAGGGGAGGGAGAGAGAGAACGAAAGAGAGATAAATAATACCGACAGGACACGAAACAGGAACATGCAATAATTATCTAAAACGCAGAGAAAAAATTATATAATTTTAGTATTAGTGAAACAAGCCGTCAGTTAGCATAAGGTAATGTAATTAAACAGGGTGTTGGATAGTTAGACAGGGTGTTGGGTGGGTAGACAGGGTGTTGGGGAGGTTAGACAGGGTGTTGGGGAGGTTAGACAGGGTGTTGGGTGGTTAGACAGGGTGTTGGGGTGGTTAGACAGGGTGTTGGATAGTTAGACAGAGTGTTGGGTGGTTAGACAGAGTGTTGGGTGGTTAGACAGGGTGTTGGGGAGGTTAGACAGGGTGTTGGGGAGGTTAGACAGGGTGTTGGGGAGGTTAGACAGGGTGTTGGGGAGGTTAGACAGGGTGTTGGGTGGTTAGACAGGGTGTTGGGTGGTTAGACAGGGTGTTGGGTGGTTAGACAGGGTGTTGGGGAGGTTAGACAGGGTGTTGGGGAGGTTAGACAGGGTGTTGGGGAGGTTAGACAGGGTGTTGGGTGGTTAGACAGGGTGTTGGGTGGTTAAACAGAGTGTTGGGGAGGTTAGACAGGGTGTTGGGTGGTTAGACAGGGTGTTGGGGAGGTTAGACAGAGTGTTGGGGTAGTTAAGACAGGGTGTTGGGTGGTTAGACAGGGTGTTGGGTGGTTAGACAGGATGTTGGGGAGGTTAGACAGGGTGTTGGGGTGATTAGACAGGGTGTGGGGTAGTTAAGACAGGGTGTTGGGTAGTTAGACAGGGTGTTGGGTAGTTAGACAGGGTGTTGGGTAGTTAGACAGGATGATGGGTAGTTAGTCACTGCTCTGGGCAGTAGGAACAAGCTTAATTAACAATATATAATTCTTCCACAGATTAGAAATAATTCCTTGACTCACATTTCCTGTATTCAATAATTTGTGTTACTACATGGAGGAGGTAACAAAGGAGGTAATAAAGCCCCACAAACATTACCCATCTACACTCGCCACATATTTACCAGGAGTTACTCAACAAAACACGTCATTCACTAAGATGTGATTAGTTAATTATATAACCAAGTAATGGAGTAACCACCACGCTCGTGTCCCTAAATAATGCCAGCCAGCCAGTCAATCCAGTCTGTCAATCAATAAGAAAGCCAGCCAGTAAGCCAGCCAGTCAATCAATCAATAATCCAGCCAGCCAACCAGTCAGCCAACCAGTCAGCCAGTCAATCAGCCAGCCAACCAGTCTGTCAATCAATAAGAAAGCCAGCCAGCCAGTAAGCCAGCCAGTCAATCAATCAGTAATCAAGCCAGTCAGCCAGCCAGCCAATCAATAATCCAGCCAGCCAACCAGCCAGCCAGCCAGCTAGCTAACTAGCAAGCAAGCAAGTCAGCCAGCTAGCCAGCCAGTCAGCCAGCTAGACGGTCAATCAATGAACCAGTCAAACGGTCAATCAATAAACCAACCAGCCAGCCATCCAGCCAGACGGTCAATCAATGAACCAGCCAGCCAGCCAGACGGTCAATTAATGAACCAGCCAGCCAGGAAGCCAAATGGTCAATCAATGAACCAGCCAGCCAACCAGTTGACCATCTGACTAATTAGCAGCGATCCAGTAATTCAGACTAATTATATAATTAGATCAGAGTTCAAAGGTCAGGCCATATATATTTAATGGGACACAAACTCAGCCTTTGAAATCTGATACCTATCTACCTTACAGCACAGGTGAGGGAGGTGGGGCAACCGCCTTCAGGGACCCAGAAAACCAACAAGTACAGAGACCTAGAACGTTGTTACAGGTTCGTGCCGATAGGATCTGAGACTCTGGGCGCCTGGGGTAAATGTGCACTTAAGTTCTTTAAGGAGGTGGGCGAGGAACTCATCGGGAAAACTAAAGACTCACGAGCGGTCAGTTTCCTGTTCCAGAGCCTCAGTGTCGCAGTTCAGAGAGGTAATGCGTTCTGTATCCTGGGTACGCACCCAACCTCCGAGGAGCTGGACGAGGTCTTCGAACACTGATTGTTATATTGTTATATTGTTATATTGTTATATATATATATATATATATATATATATATATATATATATATATATATATATATATATATATATATATATATATATATATGTCGTACCTAGTAGCCAGAACTCACTTCTCAGCCTACTATTCAAGGCCCGATTTGCCTAATAAGCCAAGTTTTCCTGAATTATTATATTTACTATAATTTTTTCTTATGAAATGATAAAGCAACCCTTTTCTCTATGTATGAGGTCAATTTTTTTTATTGGAGTTAAAATTAACGTAGATATATGACCGAACCTAACCAACCCTACCTAACCTAACCTAACCTATATTTATAGGTAAGGTTAGGTTAGGTAGCCAAAAAAAGCTAGGTTAGGTTAGGTAGGTTAGGTAGACGAAAAAACATTAATTCATGAAAACTTGGCTTATTAGGCAAATCGGGCCTTGAATAGTAGGCTGAGAAGTGCGTTCTGGCTATTAGGTACGACATATATATATATATATATATATATATATATATATATATATATATATATATATATATATATATATATATATATATATATATATATATATATATATATGACTATGAGTTTTCAGTCGCATATAGTCCTGGGGACCATTCAGGCTTGTTCGCATATATATATATATATATATATATATATATATATATATATATATATATATATATATATATATATATATATGACAGCTTCCAGTTGAGTTGTTCATAATTCAAGTTCCTCATAGTTCCAGCTGTGTCGGGAATATATATACTAAATATGCCATATTTTGGCTCTGATTATCTGGTTGGGATACCTTTACCTTGTGACCTAGAGGAGGGGGGGGGGTGACACACTACCCTTCACCTGGTGACCTTATTGATATGTCACTCACGTTCACCTGCTGATTTTGCTATGGCAAATAACCTGGTGATGCCACTGATACAATGGCTTGGTGATTCCACTGATACAATGACCTGGTGATGCCACTAATACAATGACCTGGTGATGTCACTGATACAATGACCTGGTGACCCCACTGATGCGTTATGGAAGTGGTAAGGAGGAGGACCAACCTGGTGACAGATGGATGTGAGGAGGGCGGTGAGAGCGGTGGACTCTGGGGAGGTGCCGACGAAGCGGATGACGAGGATGGGCTTGGCGTGGGAGAGCCATTCGATGCAGTTGGAGGCACACTTGGCCAGCAGGGAGGTCTTGCCGCAGCCTCCAGCCCCGTGCAGCAGCAGAGGACTCACGTAGGGACCCTTGATGTAGTCCTCCACCTTCTTCACCTCCTCCTCCCGCCCATAGAACACCTGACATAAACAAACAATAGGAAATATTAAAGTAACAGATTTTATGTCAAGAGTTTGTTCTCTGTTGGTTAACGCTGGCTCTGTTCTGTAACCTGCGGGAAGACCACAGGACCTGTTCACTGTGTGGAGACCACAGGACCTGTTCACTGTGTGGAGACCACAGGACCTGTTCACTGTCTGGAGACCACAGGACCTGTTCACTGTCTGGAGACCACAGGACCTGTTCACTGTCTGGAGACCACAGGATCTGTTCACTGTCTGGAGACCACAGGACCTGTTCACTGTCTGGAGACCACAGGACCTGTTCACTGTCTGGAGACTACAGGACCTGTTCACTGTCTGGAGACCACAGGACCTGTTCACTGTCTGGAGACCACAGGATCTGTTCACTGTCTGGAGACCACAGGATCTGTTCACTGTCTGGAGACCACAGGACCTGTTCACTGTCTGGAGACCACAGGACCTGTTCACTGTCTGGAGACCACAGGACCTGTTCACTGTCTGGAGACCACAGGACCTGTTCACTGTCTGGAGACCACAGGACCTGTTCACTGTCTGGAGACCACAGGACCTGTTCACTGTGTGGAGACCACAGGACCTGTTCACTGTCTGGAGACCACAGGATCTGTTCACTGTCTGGAGACCACAGGACCTGTTCACTGTCTGGAGACCACAGGACCTGTTCACTGTCTGGAGACCACAGGACCTGTTCACTGTCTGGAGACCACAGGACCTGTTCACTGTCTGGAGACCACAGGACCTGTTCACTGTCTGGAGACCACAGGACCTGTTCACTGTCTGGAGACCACAGGACCTGTTCACTGTCTGGAGACCACAGGACCTGTTCACTGTCTGGAGACTACAGGACCTGTTCACTGTCTGGAGACCACAGGACCTGTTCACTGTCTGGAGACCACAGGATCTGTTCACTGTCTGGAGACCACAGGACCTGTTCACTGTCTGGAGACCACAGGACCTGTTCACTGTCTGGAGACCACAGGACCTGTTCACTGTCTGGAGTCCACAGGACCTGTTCACTGTCTGGAGACCACACGACCTGTTCACTGTCTGGAGACCACAGGACCTGTTCACTGTCTGGAGACCACAGGACCTGTTCACTGTCTGGAGACTACACGACCTATTTACTTAAGCACTTGGGAAACTACTCAGCTCATACAGAGAGAGAGAAAACAAGGTAATTCAATATTTTTCAAGTGAAGAATACTTGCAGACGAGCGACAACAACAATGTGGCAAAGCTCTTCTAAATACAGACCAACATTGTTTGTGTCGCACCCTCCACCCGGAGTTGGTAACGTGGGTCAGTGGTGACAGTCCCATTATTGCCCGAAACGGTATGTGTACTAGTGGCTTTAGGTATTGTATGTACTACCTCTATCTTTAAATCTAACAGAATCTTTGTACTGTAACTCTGCAACTATGTACTTTTCCTAAATAAATTATTATTATTTATTATTATTATTACCTCCACCCGGAGTACTCACCGTGACGGAGTTCTTGCAGGCGTGAAGGTGCTGCAGGATTTCAGTGATGATTTGCCCCTGGGCCGAGGAGTCCTCCTTGCGCATAGCTCTATCGATGAGCTTGGTCATGCCCTTATAGAAGTGGGTACAGAACTCCTGCAGGTACTCGCCGTGGGTCTCTTTCGCCAGGCCCTCGCGGCCGATCCACTCCACCGTGTACCTGCGACAAAAACGAACGTTGTGAAATATAAAAGTTTACCGGATTAAAATAATAAATGAAAACGGAGAATGAGGTGTAATATATTTTGTTGTTTTCTCTCTGTTTCGTGTGGGGTTCCTAGGACATTATTCACACAGATGACAATATGTTTTTGTTGGAGGTTATCTCTTTTTGAAGTAAAAAATTGAGAAATATGTATCAATATCCAATTGTAGTTTATGCCAATGACAGCTGGCTAGGGGTTCTGTGCTGTCATTGATCCTGTAATGGTATTTGTTGGCAAGCCAGAAAATACGGGAGCCAGTTGGTATGGGTCTACTAATTTGAGGCGAGCCTACTTGAAATAGCTTGCCATTGCCTTGTTCTGTAATTCTTTATCATTCTTTTATTCGGTTCTGTTACATGTAAGTACACCATATACACTACACATGTATATGTATATACTCGTACATAATATATTTTTAGCACTGATTACAAACATGCTTAATACGTAGTTTGAAATGCGGCCAAGATTTGCCATCTGGCCTAAGCCTATTACCAGCTTCGCACGGCCCTGTCTGTCGATACTTACAATAATTAGCGATTTCTGATGGTAATAGTGACGATTCCTGTAGTAAATGGTAGTTTCCTACTTCGTCTGCAGTAGATGGTAGATTATACTGCATCACCTGCAGTAGACTGTAGATTCAATCCTCCCTCACCTGTGGTAGACGCTATCCGCCTTCACATTAGGAAGCCAAAGGTAACAGACAACAAACTCCATCCACCTATCTCCTGCCTCACCTGTGATAATTTGTGGACTCTATCCTGGCGGGAAGCCTGACGTCCCTCAGGTCAGACAAGAGCTTCATGGCCTCTCCGTCGATCTGCCTGTTGACGATGTCGATGAAGTTGGCTGCTCGCCGGAGGTTCTGCAGATTGATGTTGTTGATGTAGCGGACGAGGGCTAGCGTGTGGTTCTTGGTGTTCTTCACGTTCAAGATCCCGTTGATGACCTCACGTTCCGTCACTGAACAGGAAAGTAGGAAGGCAGGTCAAGCGCTATTTACTCATGTGTATCAATTTGTGGGTTAATGTTAACACGAATCGGATATCGCAGGAAATTGCCATTAGACCTCCGGGAACAATGTCGCAGCGAGAGGGGTAAACAATGCTCAAAGTTACTTGGCTAATCAAGTCGCATATGATCAGGTCACACACACATAGGATCATCTTATTCTACTCCAAAACTATCGAGTGATATTTGAGAGGTAAAATCCAAGAGTTGAAGCTGAACTCTCACAACCACAGGTGTGTGCACATATGTTACTTGTGTGTAATAATCTGTGGAAGTCAAGAATTAGCTTTTGGGTTCCGCCTCTAAGTCTAAACTCATTCACTATCTCTCTCTCTCTCTCACACTCACTATCTGGGGAGGAGGGGTCGGTCGCTGCTTTGACGAGCCTAACCTAAGAACAAGTTACACCTTTGTAAATGCTTCACCCACGAACGACAAATACAAATAATTGCCAACAGAACCAAAACACCTAACCTATGGCTAAATATGCAATTAAATGCTAATATATAATAAATTCAACTTATATTCGAGAAAATATATATTTTGAATGAAGAGTGTGTTAAAAGTTGATGAATGAGCCGTTGGGGTCGGCGGATGGATGGACTGAGCCTGAGGACGGGTTGTTCATTCTCCCATTATAAAGCAAGACAAAATGGAGGACAGGCGCGTGAGAGCAGTCCATACCTTCAAGGCTGACACAGGGTGAGTGATGCGGCAGGGGCGGGTTGTAAGGGTGTTTTCTCGGCGGCATTAGTACAGGACTTGGCACCCTAGAGACGCGCGCGTGTAGCTGCAGTGGTGTGTGTGTGTGTGTGTGTGTGTGTACTCACCTAATTGTACTCACCTAATTGTGCTTGCGGGGGTTGAGCTCTGGCTCTTTGGTCCCGCCTCTCAACCGTCAATCAACTGGTGTACAGATTCCTGAGCCTATTGGGCTCTATCATATCTACATTTGAAACTGTGTATGGAGTCAGCCTCCACCACATCACTTCCTAATGCATTCCATTTGCTAACTACTCTGACACTGAAAAAGTTCTTTCTAACGTCTCTGTGGCTCATTTGGGTACTCAGCTTCCACCTGTGTCCCCTTGTTCGCGTCCCACCAGTGTTGAAAAGTTCGTCCTTGTTTACCCGGTCGATTCCCCTGAGGATTTTGTAGGTTGTGATCATGTCTCCCCTTACTCTTCTGTCTTCCAGTGTCGTGAGGTGCATTTCCCGCAGCCTTTCCTCATAACTCATGCCTCTTAGTTCTGGGACTAGTCTAGTAGCATACCTTTGGACTTTTTCCAGCTTCGTCTTGTGCTTGACAAGGTACGGGCTCCATGCTGGGGCCGCATACTCCAGGATTGGTCTTACATATGTGGTGTACAAGATTCTGAATGATTCCTTACACAGGTTCCTGAACGCCGTTCTGATGTTAGCCAGCCTCGCATATGCCGCAGACGTTATTCTCTTTATGTGGGCTTCAGGAGACAGGTTTGGTGTGATATCAACTCCTAGATCTTTCTCTCTGTCTGTTTCATTAAGTACTTCATCTCCTATTCTGTATCCTGTGCCTGGCCTCCTGTTTCCACTGCCTAGTTTCATTACTTTGCATTTACTCGGGTTGAACTTCAACAGCCATTTGTTGGACCATTCACTCAGTCTATCCAGGTCATCTTGTAGCCTCCTACTATCATCCTCTGTTTCAATCCTCCTCATAATTTTTGCATCGTCGGCAAACATTGAGAGGAACGAATCTATACCCTCTGGGAGATCATTTACATATACCAGAAACAGTATAGGTCCGAGGACTGACCCCTGCGGGACTCCACTTGTGACGTCTCGCCAATCTGAGACTTCACCCCTCACACAGACTCGTTGTCTCCTGTTGCTTAGGTATTCCTCTATCCACCGGAGTACCTTCCCTCTCACTCCAGCCTGCATCTCCAACTTTCGCACTAGCCTCTTGTGTGGCACTGTATCAAAGGCTTTCTGACAATCCAAAATATGCAGTCTGCCCACCCTTCTCTTTCTTGCCTTATTTTTGTTGCCTGGTCGTAGAATTCAAGTAACCCTGTGAGGCAGGACCTGCCATCCCTGAACCCATGTTGATGCTGTGTTACAAAGTTCCTTCGCTCCAGATGCTCCACTAGTTTTTTTCGCACAATCTTCTCCATCAGCTTGCATGGTATGCAGGTTAGGGACACTGGCCTGTAGTTCAGTGCCTCCTGTCTATCCCCTTTCTTGTATATCGGGACTACGTTAGCTGCTTTCCAAATATCTGGCAGTTCCCCTGTTGCCAGTGATTTGTTATACACTATGGAGAGTGGTAGGCTCAGTTCTCTTGCTCCTTCCTTTAGAACCCAAGGGGAGATTCCATCTGGGCCTATAGCCTTCGTCACGTCCAACTCTAGTAAACACTTCCTTACTTCCCCACTGGTAATCTCAAACTCTTCCAGTGGTTCCTGGTTAGCTATTCCCTCACTTACCTCTGGAATTTCTCCTTGTTCTAAGGTGAAGACCTCCTGGAATTTCTTATTCAATTCCTCACACACTTCCTTGTCATTTGTAGTGAATCCTTCCGCCCCTATCCTTAATCTCATAACCTGTTCCTTTACTGTTGTTTTTCTCCTAATGTGGCTATGCAACAATTTAGGCTGAGTCTTTGCCTTGCTTGCGATGTCATTTTCGTATTGTCTTTCTGCCTCTCTTCTCATCCTGACATATTCATTCCTGGCATTCTGGTATCTTTCTCTGCTCTCCAGTGTCCTGTTATTCCTATAGTTTCTCCATGCCCTTTTACTTTGCTGCTTAGCTAGCCTACATCTTTGATTAAACCATGGGTTTCTCATCTTCATTTCTCTGTTTTCCTTTTGGACTGGGACAAACTTGTTTGCTGCGTCCTTGCACTTCTGCGTGATGTAATCCATCATATCTTGGGCCGTCTTTCCCCTGAGCTCTGTTTCCCATGCTATATCTGTTAGGAATTTTCTTATCCCCTCATAGTTTCCCTTTCGGTATGCTAACCTTTTGGTTTCGGTATCCCTCCTCGAGTTCAATAACCCTTCTTCAATCAAGTACTCAAACACCAGTACACTGTGGTCGCTCATTCCTACTGGGTCCTCAAAACCGATTTCTCTTATGTCGGAGTCGTTCAGAGTGAAGACTAGGTCGAGTCTCGCTGGTTCGTCATTGCCTCTCATCCTTGTGGGTTCTCCGACATGCTGCGTTAAAAAGTTGCTTGTCACCACCTCCAATAGTTTGGCTCTCCACGTATCCTCGCCTCCATGCGGTTCCTTGTTCTCCCAGTCAATCTTTCCGTGATTGAAGTCGCCCATGATGAGCAGGTGGGATCTATTTCTACAGGCAGCAGAGGCTGCCCTCTCAATTATAGTGTTAACTGCCTTGTTGTTGTTTTCATACTCTTGACTGGGTCTCCTGTCATTTGGTGGAGGGTTGTATATTACTGCTACTACTATTCTTGGTCCTCCCATTGTTATGGTGCCTGCTATGTAGTCTCTGAACTCCTCACAGCCCGGGATGGCCATCTCCTTAAAACTCCATTCCCTTCTCATGAGTAGGGCCACTCCGCCTCCTCCTCTACCTTCCCTCTCTTTCCTTATTACTGTATACTCCTGGGGAAACACGGCATTCGTTATGATTCCAGAGAGTTTTGTTTCAGTGAGTCCGATTACATCTGGGTTAACTTCTTGTGCTCTTTCCCTTAGTTCACTTGTCTTGCTTGTGATCCCATCTATGTTTGAGTACATCACCCTGAAACTGACTCTCTTCTGCTTCTTTTCTGGGGGGGACCTTTGGGATCTGGGGTGAGTGGGAGCTGGGGGGACCTGGCACGGGGGGATTGGTGGAGGAGGGAGGGCTTGGGGTGGTGGGGGAGAGGGGGAGGGTACAGGGGGTGGATAAGAGGGGGAGGGTACAGGGGGTGGATAAGAGGGGGAGGGTACAGGGGGTGGATAAGAGGGGGAGGGTACAGGGGGTGGGTAAGAGAGGGAGGGTTGGGGAAGCATGGGGAAGCATGGTGTGTGTGTGTGTGTGTGTGTGTGTGTGTGTGTGTGTGTGTGTGTGTGTGTGTGTGTGTGTGTGTGTGGTGATGAGGAGGGGACTATAGTGCCTCACAGGGGGTACAGGAGCCAGGGCTCACAGGGGGTGCAGGAGCCAGGGCTCACAGGGGGTGCAGGAGCCAGGGCTCACAGGGGGTGCAGGAGCCAGGGCTCACAGGGGGTGCAGGAGCCAGGGCTCACAGGGGGTGCAGGAGCCAGGGCTCACAGAGGGTGCAGGAGCCAGGGCTCACAGAGGGTGCAGGAGCCAGGGCTCACAGAGGATGCAGGAGCCAGGGCTCACAGGGGGTGCAGGAGCCAGGGCTCACAGGGGGTGCAGGAGCCAGGGCTCACAGAGGATGCAGGAGCCAGGGCTCACAGGGGGGTGCAGGAGCCAGCGCTCACAGGGGGGTGCAGGAGCCAGGGCTCACAGGGGGTGCAGGAGCCAGGGCTCACAGGGGGTGCAGGAGCCAGGGCTCACAGAGGATGCAGGAGCCAGGGCTCACAGGGGGGTGCAGGAGCCAGGGCTCACAGGGGGTGCAGGAGCCAGGGCTCACAGGGGGGTGCAGGAGCCAGGGCTCACAGAGGGTGCAGGAGCCAGGGCTCACAGAGGATGCAGGAGCCAGGGCTCACAGGGGGTGCAGGAGCCAGGGCTCACAGGGGTGCAGGAGCCAGGGCTCACAGGGGGTGCAGGAGCCAGGGCTCACAGAGGATGCAGGAGCCAGGGCTCACAGGGGGGTGCAGGAGCCAGGGCTCACAGGGAGTGCAGGTGCCAGGGCTCACAGGGAGTGCAGGTGCCGGGGCTCACAGGGGGGTGCAGAAGCCAGTGCTAACAGGGAGTGCAGGTGCCAGGGCTCACAGGGAGTGCAGGTGCCAGGGCTCACAGGGAGTGCAGGTGCCAGGGCTCACAGGGAGTGCAGGTGCCAGGGCTCACAGGGAGTGCAGGTGCCAGGGCTCACAGGGAGTACAGGTGCCAGGGCTCACAGGGAGTGCAGGTGCCAGGGCTCACAGGGAGTGCAGGAGCCAGGGCTCACAGGGAGTGCAGGTGCCAGGGCTCACAGGGAGTGCAGGTGCCAGGGCTCACAGGGAGTACAGGTGCCAGGGCTCACAGGGGGGTGCAACTAATGAGAGTATCTAGTGAGCCATTTTCACTCAACAAATTTGCATAAATTACTCCAGTCAATTGAAGGATTACAATCCCTTAAGTGAACAAACAATACAATAGGCTCATGACCTTTGCGTATACTGTATTTGTGTTATTTTATTCCTTGCTCAAGATGCTTACCTATTTGGCTACCAAAGAATTTATTACAATCTTTGCATGCAATACTAAACACGCAACCGTAGCAATTACTTGGCAAACTTTTAATCAAAGTGTTTTATGATATCAAGATTCTTAAATGCCACACTGATATTAATTCGTTTTAGTAGTTTAGGAATTCCATTGAAGTTTTCGTGAAATGGCAGAATTATTGTATTCTTCTTCCTTTTTCAAATTAAAGAAAGTATTACGAGCAAATTGGCTAGCTTTAACAATAAGGTAATATATATATATATATATATATATATATATATATATATATATATATATATATATATATATATATATATATATATATATATATATATATATATATAATTAGATGTGCAACAAATCATATCGCAATACTCCAGGTCCAGACTCACGGTAGAGGAACGTAAGGCACGCTATAGTCCCCGGAGGTGTCCTTCCTCACCTGGATTTATTTATTTATTTAGTTATCTATAAACAAGATGATGTATTGGGTTGAGAGAATACATAACATTGGTGTTCTCACATTCTTGCGAAGCCACTAATACGCATAGCGTTTCGGGCATTTGATCCAACGGAGCTTCCTAACCAGCACACAAGGAA